TAACCAGACTTTCTAATCAGTTAGGTAAATGCAACTACACGCAATTGCAGACGGCGTGACACGGTGATGCAAAAGTAAATAGATTTGGTTATGACCTATTTAGGTAAAAACCAAATCTATTTATAATTGTTTTGTTATAATTTAAATGTTTGCAAATTCTGTAGCGACTATAACGATTTTATTTATATTTCTTATTATTAAAATAGCTGGCTTATATTATCGTTCTCGATGGTCTAATGATAGTAATCTATGTATGTATATATTTATTTACTTTTCGTTTATCTCACGGTACGGTGTATACATACTATACACGGTATACATGTGGGCTCGTTGGTCTAATCAGCCAAAACATGTTTTTAATCAATTATAAGAGCAGCAATTCAATACTTTGACCTAGCTTAGCTGTTCTTCATTAAGGTAGAGGGAGAAGTACCGACAACATTCAGCAATTCTTTTTTTAAACTATATTATAGACATTGCGCAAGAGGTGCATCTATCAATAGGTAGAAAAATATCGACGATAGCGTGTAGGAGTCGGTAGCCCAATTGGTTAGAGCAACACCACGGAAGAGTATGCCGGTTCATGTCCCGTCCGTGTCGTAAATGTTTTGAATTTATTATTGATTTTTAAACCAAATCTCCCTTTATTTAGCACAACGCAGGTCGCCAATACATTAACACAACTCACGTAACAAACTGCATATGCGTAGGTATTGTACGAAATATCAATAACGCGACTCCATTGTATTTTTTACGTAAAATAAAATTAAAATTATTTCATTATACTTATAACATTTTAGTTAAATCTACGAACAAATAATATGTACTCTTTGATCAGTGATAATGAAATCACAATACGTCACAAAGTCCCAAATAACACTTTGACGTCGTTTTATTAATACATAATACAAAAGTCGTGCACGTATTTTGCACCATGTCATCAACCAAACAAAAAAAAACTCATTTTATTTTAACATGGTGACCACGACTTTCGCATTACTGTACTCGAATGTAAACAAAGACTTTAACCTGTAACCTTATAAGATGTATAAACAAATAAAAAAAAGACTTTATGTGAATCACACTAATATTATAAAGCTGAAAATTTTTAACGCTACTCTGTTTTTTAAGTGAAAAAAAGGAAATGGAAAAAGGGGGACTATATTGAGAGTTTAAAGGTGAGGAAAATGATTCAAAAAATATGTATGAACTTATTGTTCTTTCAATAATAAAAAAAATGTTGGCGACAGCATAGTATACTTATGTCTATTTTTTTGGGTTCCCTCAAAATAACGTTCACCAGGTCAGCTAGTGTAAGATAAAAACATTTTAGTCGTAATTATAGCTCAGGATAGCCAACCCTCCCTGTGGGTTCCATTAAAATCGGGGGGAGGTTGATGTCGTTACTAATCTTTAAAATACGTGCTATTTTATTTAAAGAGAGTCACGTTGCTTGTGGCAAAGCGAAACATAACATTCCCTCCACGTGTTCGATGTTTAGGCAAACATCGGATGTTGTATTGATAAGAACCTTATCGTTAAATGGACGATTGTCTAGAGTAATCACATCTGATTATGAACAATAATATAATTCGATAAAAAAATTGTTCAATAAAAGCTTGTACAAACTATGTTGTTTCTATTAAATTAACTTTCTAGTTACATTTAGGATGTCGTAAGGATATTCTGTTAGCAAGCGATTTTGGGAAATCCATGTAATATTTAAGTGACTTTTGTCCATCGCCTTTCGTATGGTATTGACGGTTGCGAATGGATATGGGTGATCTCCCTTATGTAAAATAGCTAAAATAAGGATTAAGCGTGGTATATAAAAGTATTATATAAATCAGTAATGTATTTTGCAGATTAAACATGCTATTTAATAAGGTTAAGGACCTACTCACTTGAAATTCCTTAATGAGGTCATCTATTTTTAATAAACTATCTTAAGTACCTTTGTTTCACATGAATTGATAAGATTACAAAATTAAGTGTAACTTCAACAAATTTATTATACCTATTTCGGTGTGTGCCGAATATAGTTTAGTTCTTAAAGTATGATACAAGAATCTTTCGCATAAGATTATAGTTTTAAAAAAAATATTTTGAAATGACTAGTAATTACGACATATCAATATATATTTTTGTGTTTAAAATTCAGAACTTATAAAAATATTTTATTGTTATAATAAAATAAAAAAAGTTGCGTTCAATATTGTGGTGTACCCCTGTGAAATCAACTAATGATTTCATATTAGTTTTCGAAGATTTAAATCATTGTTTAAGATTTATCTGCCCTTGACTGGGGCGATACATAATAATCAAATCACGTAAGGTTTTTTAAATGATAAAGTTATCTCTTACAGGAAATTAAATACGATATCTTTTGTCCATCGCCCAAACTAAGATTACTATCCTATTCTATAAAATATTTAGTTATTTTCATATTTCATATGTTGAGCAATTCTGCGAAAACTGCATAAAAATTTCGCGCGCAATAAAAGGGATATTTACAAAAGATCAACATTCCCGATTGTAATATATTATTTTTATCTACATTATCGACATCTTAAATTTTGTCTGTCTACATAATTAGGCTACCAAACACTGAAGCATTCTATGAAATCAGGCTTATTGAAGAGAATAAAAATATACCAGCATATATAATAATATTGGTCTTAGTGTGATTAAAATGACTATTCCTATTTTTATCAAACATCACAGATTATATCAAAATTAATGACGCCGAATTGTTATAGATAGAATATGCAATAAAGATAATAACATTTTCAATGACAACCACAGTGAAGTAAACATATTATTATTATGTAGTAAGATGGAAAATACCGACGATTTTATCGGCGAGTTAATAAATAATTAATTGTTTATAACTACGGCTGCTTATTAAGATTATTTGCATTTAGTCGTGGGGTTAAAAGTTATCATAACATTAATAACGTCTAATAAACAATCTATTATTTGTGCTAGAATAGCAGTGGGTGGCAAACAATAGTGATTTTAGAGGAACAAAATCCTGCTTCTTCTTATTATATCCCTATTAGATAGATGTTGATTACCTGGAACAATTTCATCTGCCCTTTTGAATGTTTTTTCATCTCTGTCATAAAAAAGTACCGCCTCATTTGGAACCTTCCCGGGATAACGCAGTCGAGGTGAAGAGATGGACTTTATTATTATACAAAGCGCCAGTTGTCCCAAGTAAAACCTAAACCACATTTAAATACTGTCTATAGTTTACGCGAGTAGTACACATTCAAATAAAACACTTTAACGGTTTAAAACGCGATATATTAGTTAAACTTATTTGAAAATGATTTTTAATATCGGCCCGACGTTTCGGATGCTTTGCAGCCGGCAGACTCCCGCCAGACCACAAAATCATTTTCAAATAAGTTTAACTAAACCGTTTAAAGTTAACGTCTTATTTAAATCACATTTGTTTCAATCTGGAAAGACCCAGAAGCCTTACTCAATCTCATCTATTGTTTTTAATAAGCTTCCTATAAATTTCTTTTGCTTTATATTATATCCGGCTCAGGACAAAAAACTTAACATCCGTTCTCACAGATAAAAGAGATTTTATCAATGGCCGCTAACGGAAGTGTGATAAGCTAACAATAAACAATATCATACATTATTCCTATGTACGTATGTATAAAGTATTATTTATTATATTTTAATACAATGGATGATTCATTATGAACAATAAGCGGCCACTTATCAAATAACAATATATACACAACGTGAAGACTATCAATCCTATCTTGATCAAATATAATCTATCTGTATTTTTAAACTGCCTATTATAATAGGAAAATATTATTATAATAAAAATACTTGTTCAGTATTTATTTATATCTTTTGATTTAATAGTAACGTAGAAAAGGGTTTTTAAACACAAATAAAATTAAATGAAATTCCCGTAGTATGCTGTAATTTTCATTTAATAATACAAAAATACATCGAATTTCTACTCTTTGAACTTAAATTTTATTTATTATCACAGAATATATTAATAATGACATTATATAAGTTCAAAATGTTTATTTATTATCTATGCTAAAGATAAGAACTGTTATTCAAGGACACAACAACAATATAATGTTAATACACGTTTGACACTAGTATTAAAATAATCTATCACAAAAATCTTGCATAATTACTAAAATAACAATTAATTGTAAAAATAAAAAAGTCAAGTAATTAATACCTAAAACTTTCTATTTTAAACATTATCTTTATTATAATAGACAAAGATATTTTACGATAAAAACACAATACAGTTTATCCTTTTCTTAGAATCGATTATACATCGATAACTACTATCGTTGCTACAATAAACTGGAATATCCGCGATACAATCAACTGCGTATTAAATTTAATGTTATTTACCAAAACTTATCTATCAAAACTCCCATGTCGTTGATAAGAGGATGTAATTAGTTATAAATTACTGATAATAATAATTGTATGATACATAATGTACTTACTACTATATTACTCAAAATTATACAATTATAATGTTTAAAATATAGCCGTTTGACAAATAAATTTGTAGTATGCACAGTACATATATTTTTAGGTTAATAGACATATTTTTTGATTTTGATATTATAAAAACATAGTTTTTAAATTTTTGGTTAAGTGGCCGTACCAACTTTAAAGGGGCAATACATGTTCAGTCAAAAATCACCATGGATCCATAAAGCTAAGTATTGTAGTCAATGAGAAAATAGAAGTTAAAGAGCGTTTCGGAGTGTAACAAAAAGTACACGCTAATATTTTAAAGATATACCTACACATATAACAGTTATGGCTATTCCACAAATTAAAATTTGCGTACTACGCCTGTTACATCGCAAAATGCAAATATCAATAGATCAGCTACGATCCAATTTTCATATCAATGCACTTTACTCACGAACAGAACTCGAGGACACTACGACTCGGTGGGTTCACAACGAATCCTTGATAACTATTCAACACTCATCATATTCCGGGACAACAGGTAGGTTATGCCTCTGTCTGCGTCGCTTATGCACGAGCCGATTGCTCCTCCTCAATTCAGCTGTACTGCACTCCTTATCTTCAGGTAAGGGTGGTAAGTTTCGCTTAGGACGCCGCGGTACCACGCATTCTGTTGCAAAATGATTTGACTCCTTGATCCTCAACATGTCGACGTCCGGATAATCCGTCTGCAAGGGAAAAGCGAACTTGACTAGCATTTCTAATCGATAAACAACTGTGCAGTGTGCCGTCAGAAAACAGACTGGAGTGCGGCTTCAATTGTTGCACGGATATTTTTAGATAAGCCAACACAAAACATGGCATTTAAATGTTATAGAGCAATGCTGAAGCTAATGTCGAGCTTTGGTGGCATGACAACAACGTGCACAATACCTAATACAATTAGTATACAGTAAATATAATAAAACTAAACCTGATTTTATTGGCAAAACGTCAAAAATTTAAATAAAAAAATCAAAATTCACCCCAAAAAAAATAAAAAAAAAAATAAAAGTAAAACAAAATTTAAGTTGAGGACACACTCATTTAAAGAAAATTTTTAAAAAAAAAATACTACATGGCAAATGACCTTAAATGGCCATATGATATTTTTCATAGTTATTATTATATATTATAGTATATTTTAAGTATGCAAAATTAAAATTATTGAGTCCAGACCTCTTCATCCATTTTCTAAGCACGTAATATAAGTAAAAAAAGTTTTAGGTTGAGATAAAGACCAAACACGCTGTTTTCTAATTCTCTTAAGAACTCTTTTAGAGTAAAAGCTTCTTTTGTATTAAAACTCAACCTTTTACGTTGAGTTTTTAATACAAACATTAAAATTCCAGTCATTTAGAAGAAGTACAAAACATTTTTACTAACAAGAACGTTAAGCAGGGAGTTTTGCCAAATGCGTTCTACGTTTTACAATAAAATGAAGGTTACTCTTACGAGTAAGCTGTCTGCTTCTAAGTATTTAGAGAGATTTATTTGATACTGTATCTGTGTACGAAATGAGCTTAAGACAATATTGATTCTAGAGTTTCAATAAACAAGTATCTTATTAAAATAGAATTTGCAATATTATTTCAATATATTCGTTCCATCGTGCTTTTAAAGATTTGTCTCATTTATTTTTTCTAAGGGACTTATTTGTTAATAATAGCTTGGAACTTAATTCGTATTAAATTATTATGTATTTAAAATAACCTTCATAATGATGAATGATTTATATTAGAACACAGTTTTTGCATTCCCAACGTGTGCTATGTAAGTTTTATATAGGTTATTATTTTTGACATTGAATTATTTATAACTTTATCATTGGTTTCATGACTACAATTTTATTATTAATTTAATTGCCAATTTCTTATCAACGCCTCCATCCATATTGACCAATGCGGTTTCCTGTTGGGAAAAACGCACTTAGCCAATTATTTCAAATTCAACAACGTTTTTTGTAATAAAATTATAAAGACGTTAAATTCCCTTTCGGTGAGCCCCGTGATCCGATCTCTGTTTTTGTTTCACAGATCGATTTTTATTTGCCTACCCTGGTGAAGCTGGCTGAAGCACCAACGGGTCCAAAGACTGCATCTCGGTAAATTCGCTGTTGATCAATTTTGGTTTTGGTGGTCGGAAATTTACTGCCTGACACCGAAACGCGATTGAAATGCATAGCTTTTTTATCTGTAGACGGTGGTTCGTGACCGGGACGGAATTTCGTTATTCCTATCAGTTAAATACCTACCCATATTTCCAGACAAATACCTACATTTCAGAAAAATAAATATAACTTTAATAATTTAGCTTTATATATAATATTCATTTGTTTCATAAATTAGAAACACGTTGGATTTGGTGGGGGTGGAAGCCACGATCCGTCATGGATTTGATCGCCATTAGACCTACGAGGGAACTTCTAGTACCTACGAGTTTTAGCGAGGATGCATGGTTAACCCAATCAAAAAATTATAAACACAGAACAACATCTTTCGTCAATAATACAATAAAATCAATTATGTTATTAAAAGACATACAAAATATAGTGTGCTTCCATTATTCAGTAATGATTTACCCTGGGTAAATATCTTATTGACGTGAACTTGAATCCTATTTTCTCACAGTAATAAGCAGATTACACGGAAATAAACACGTGTTCTAACTAAAGACACCGGTTTACACAAACATAAACAAACATGCTCGATACAAATTGTGGGAGGCTGGGTTTATTTGTGATGTTAATATTGTGTGTTGTATAGATCATCCATTAGAGGTAGTATCGTATTATACAAAAAAAATCTAGATTTTAATTGAGTTTTATCATTATTTACGGAGCTTGTTACTAATACAGTTAATATACCTACGATAAAATACCAATATAGTACAATCAAAGATTTCTTGTCTAATAACTATGCGCAAGCGCATAAGATGCTTTAATAACTTTATTTGTATATTTTCAGAATATATGTGACTGTCAAGATCCACAAACATATATGTAAAAGTAGTAGTAGTAGTGTAGTTTGCGCTCATACTAATTTAAATGAAACACTTTAACGGTTTAAAACGCCATATATTTGTTAAACTTATTTGAAAATGATTTTTAACTTCGGGCCGAGGTTTAACTAATATATCACGTTTTAAACCGTTAAAGTGTTTTATTTAAATGTGTACTACTCGCGTAAACTAAAGACCGTATTTCACTTTTAACTGCTTAAAATGCGAAATCATCAGTTCCCCGTGTCCAGAATTGCTGCACAACATCGGGCCGTAAATGTAAATAAATTAAACACAAGTGTATATATATTTCTTGTTTTAAACGTACTTTACCTATATAATGAGTACCTTCTTGGTTCGTTTTTTTAATAATTTGATAACATCGCCCGTATTTCTATAAATACCTAAGTGCATTTCGCTTCAAATAATATGAACAATTACACAGCTATTGATGAATTGACTGCCAAATACAGATAATATGTTTGACCTGGACGTGAGCCCATTTATTCAAAAGATGTCAAATAAATCAGCAACAGTGATCTTATTTATACGTATGTAGTGAGGAATTATTGACAATTTCACCATCTCATAGGTAGTATAGAATCACAAAGTGGGTGTATATAATTTCACCATCAAAGCTGAATACAACTATTTAGTTTTCACTTGCAGTGTTTCTTCCATTCTATAGCTAAAACTGCGGACCGAATTTAATGAAGATAACAGAAATTGTTCCTAATATAAGCATGCGTTACATTGATTATTACACAACATGTAATGTCGTAATAAAAAGGAAAAAAGATATTCAATTTAAATTAATAAAAAAAGGAAATGCTCGTTTCCCCCTCTTGGTACATGGGGTGAACACATTTCTGTGTCCGTTTCACTGATCCGTTATTTTAGCGAGCAAGTAGTTGATCAGACTTCTGTGCCCTGCCCGACCGAAACAATTTTATGTTTGTCTGGAATTTGAAACTCTCGCGCTTAACGCAGTGCTAGGCAGTTCGTTTAACCATTTGACTTCACAGGCGGTCGAAATGAATAACTAGTTAAATCTATTTTTCCTACAACAAATGTTTTTGTATTGAAATGTATACCTACTACTCGCGAATATTATAGACACAATCCAGATTAAGTGTGAGGTAGCATAGCCAAAATATCAATGAAAATAAAATTAAAATTGAATGCATATGTTAAGAGTTACACAAGCATACATACATAGTTTAAAAAATATTATTAGCTCTGCTTTTTGTTTTACCGGTTTTGACCGAATTTCTAAGCACATAAGTAAGTCACGATAGTTAAAGAAATTTTCACGTGATTCAAATGACTCAGAAAGGTAGGTACCATAGTGGGATTACATCATATTGTAAAAAGATAACAACAATATACCATAAAATCATAAAGTTTATGGTTTACTTTGAGTAGGGTAATTTCTCGACGGCTATTTGTTCTTGAAGGATAAAACGTCATGTTGCAATGAATAACAGTTTCTACCATGATAAAATGAGTACGGTAAATTATAAATACTAATATTTCATGCAAAATTCCACGTTTGGGAAAAGTGAGTGTTGGGCTATATTTTTTGGAGGGCTATTTGGAATAAATAGGAAAAAATTAAATCGATGAATGTCGAAAAACGGACGAAATATTACGCTGTTTTAAAGCGTTTCTAAAGAGTCTAGAAATCCTTAATCTGTCCGGTGTCCACAGTTGGACATAGGTCCCCCACAGACTCCGTACACGTCGTGACTTCAATCTAGCGTTTTCCAGATAACCTTGATCGGTACACCCGGTGCTACCTCCAGAACCTTTTTGCTCCAACGGCCATCAGTTCTACGAGCGATGAGTTCAGCCCTGCCACTTCGACCTGCTGATTCTTTGGCCTATAACAGCTCTCCTCATCTCTGATTCGATCAAGCAGGCTAACTCCGAGCATATCCTCTTCCTTAGCTCATCATGCTCTATAATTATAAAAACCTAAATCGTTTACTACAACAATAACAAATATTAATGCAGATAGAGAAACGTAAAACATATGAAAAATAATAGAAACAATTTCTTTACAGTACTACAACAGGACATAATTAATCAACAAGAATTCGAAATATAATAGAACCAAATTCCGTCTTTAGCAGCATAATTGAATAACGCGTTGTATAGTATTGGGTAAGTATACGAGATACTGGATTCAAATCAAGGAAACAATAATATGTTTTTATAATGTCCCTGTAGAGTGAATATTAGTACTATCTTACTATAATATATTATTAATATTTCCAACGACAATGCGAGTCTGTCGTGGACATTAACTCATCCTGGTTGATTGGCGCACGTGGTAATGAAAACGTGACTCTCATTACACATGCTTTCATTTCAATAAAGTCTATTATATATAGGACATAAGCATCATTGAATTTAACAAGAAACCATTTTGTGAGACGAGCTTCAATTACTCTTACTGATTAGAATATTCTGCATCTCTTTCATGATAAAAGTAAAAAAAACAAAAAAAATAATTATAACAATATAAAGTTTGTTTATTTGAAAGTGCTAAATGGAGAAATTGTAAATTCGATTCACTCTAGGTATTTAGTAGTCCAGAGGCCACCAAATCTATACAAAGGCTATATTTACCGTATAGAACATTAAAAAAAAACGTTATAGAACAAACTATAATAGCTATAATTAAATTAAACCTCGGCTCGATGTTAGTTAATTTTTCCCCTTATAATAAAAAGCCTTAAAAAAGCAATATTTGTACCAAAACTTAAGAAGAAAGCTTTTTTTATTTAACGAAACTGTAAACACCACAGACGTCGCAAGTTCACTACAGACACAAAAAACATAAATAAACGAACTTAACGCATAATAACTTTACGGAAGCAGTTATTTACAGATACATTTACAAACAAACTGTCTATAGTTTTACGCGAGTAGTACACATTTAAATAAAACATTTTAACGGTATAAAACGCGATATATTAGTTTAACTTATTAGAAAATTATTTTTAACTTCCGCCCCGACGCTTCGGATGCTTTGCAGCAGCCGTGGTCACGGGGAGACTCAACGATACATTTTCATTAATGAATCATTTTTAACTATCTAATCATGATTTATTATAGTAGTGTCCACCAATTCCAGATTGGTCTAGTTATAAAGGGTGTAGGTATGACTTCTCCATTTATACGAAAGAATGTTTTTTACTTTTTGTCTATATCGCCAAATGGATTTCTTTTCTATTGAGAGCTGAAACGGGCGCTTCTATTAAGTTGTGACGGGCACGTTGCTCTAATGGTAGCAATGTATGGGTTATAATCAACGGATCGTGGGTTCGATCCCCACCGAGTCCACGATAGGTCGACTTTATGGTGGGGTATTCACCACCTATCATGTGAAGCCCATACTTGTCTGTCCTCCTATTTTACAAAAAAGTTGTCATTCTACAAACACTGGACGACATAATGACAGGTGTAAGTTATATCCATATATTATTTATTTAAATTATAGTAACTACAGATCTAAAATAGTTGGTCCTGTTCAAAGTACTAATTAATAATTAATTGATAATATCACCTATGCTACGCGTAAGTTAATAATGCTACTTCAGAAAACGTGAAATTACTTACATCCACCATAATATATATATATAAAAAAATGTTTTTTATTACGTTTTAGAAACTTTTTTATTCTATTACTGTTTGTGTTTAGAGAAATGTAAAAACAATTTTAAAAACGTAACAATTGTATGACCAAGTTGGTGTTCTGGCGTAGATCCGTCGGAAGTGCCACTGCATGGTGCACCTGCCAAATTATTGTGCAGAATGAGTCCAGCACTTCACAATGAAGTGACCCAGTGACATTTGAAGCGGGTGGGTAGAACTAGATTAGGGCGAGGGGTTACTGCACCGTCCATTGTCCTAACGACAAAGTTATACTAGTTGTCCTAGTTAATTATGTAAATTTTTTAATCAACCTGACAGATTCAAAAAGTTTATTAAAAACCTTCAATCGTTTAATGAACACAGACACTCATATTCTGGATATTCGTCGCAATAAACGTGCTGCTAATGTTTCAAGTTGTTTTCTCTCTCAATAAATAAAATAGTTGTTTATTATATAGGGGGAGAGAAAACAATTAAGAATATGTATTGTAATGCAACATAATATATTGTTTTAATTTAAAAAAGCGCCATCTATACAAACAAGACGGTATTTTTTTCAATAAAATTAGTGAGAATATCAAATTTCAACAGAAGAATAATTATAACGCTTCTATTGATTATTATTTATTATATACAACCAAAAAAAACCTCAAAGAAATGGATATTTAATAGTTATAAAAGTAAAATATTATGATTGTTCTACTAATATAGCTTGCGAATATTTGACAATACAGATACAATATAGACATAACTATAACCATGTTGAATTGACATTGATAGCTGCTGACTAAAATGGCGTATTCTTCCTTCGTGTAGTGGAATCTGACGCTATCGTTTTTGTTGTGAAAAGGAAGCTTTCAATACATCGTAGGATATCAATTTGTTTCAGGTAAAATGATTAAGTTTAATACTTTAAATTAAAATTGCTGTTAACTGCACATATTTCGTAATTTGTACAATCTGCCTTGTATTTGATTACAACCCCCAATGCTTTAAAAACTTGTACTTAAACTTAAACTAGTATTTATAGGAAGAAAACTTAATACGAAATAAATCTATTTGTAGCAACTCCTTGACAAGAATCTATTGCTATTAAAGTATATAAATTCAGTTAACGTTCTTAAAAATCTATATGTAGCATAGTAACTATACCTAGATATATACGGTTCCTGTCAGCAACTGTAGTATTTTAGTTGATTTTTTTTGTTTATTAGTGTATGTATTGAAAAAATAATTCATATGTTCTTTCTTACAGGGAGTAATGTGTTATGGCAACACCCAACAGTTATAAACAAAACGCATCAATGTCGATGCCAAGTCCTCAAAACAACCCGCGTTTGTATTCCATTCATACTAAAACCATATTAAAACTTAGAATTAGAAATCGCCAAATGCATAGAATTTATATTGAGTTGTTTAGAATGTTGTTAGATACTAACGTACTTAACCTGCCAAGTACCAAATATGACAGGTAGCTTGGCGGGTGATTAATGTGGATTTTGTCTATAAAATACCTATAAGGGTATAAAGTATAAACTCTTGTATGTGTATACAATTTTAATGTCTACTGTTTAAACATATATGACAAGAAATAATAGTATTTTTGATGAAACAATAATTTATAACTATATTTATGAAACTCAAAAGGAAAAAGCCAATTTATTTACTTAAGGTGATTATCAACAAAATATAAAATAAAAGCTAAAACTAAAAAACAATGAGATGTGGCTATAATATACCTTTGTTTTCAATACTGGTTTCAATAACTATACATAATTAAAAAACTAAGTTTTCTCTAACAATTACTTCTTGGATAAAGTTAACTCTTAAATAAAACATTTTACAGGTTAAAACGCGATATATTTTAGTTGAACTTGTGTTTTATTTCAATGTACTACTCGCGTAAACTACAGACAGTATTTAAAGATAACTTGATGTTGATTTTATTATGAAGTAGTTTCAAAGCTACTGCAACAAAATTATCCCAAATTTCAATATGAAGTGTTATTTCAAATTATTTATTGTATTTTATGGACATACCCGAATGCTGGTATCTAACTGTATAACTTGAGAAGCATGACGCATTCTCCGCTTAATTTCAAATGTGCATCCGTAACAAATTATACTTTCTTTTTTATTCTTTACGCATAGACTTATTCTTTTATGTTTTTTTCATGTTATGTTATGTTGAAACAGACTACATGATTGCGGGGGCACCAATGAGTTTCGGTATGATGAAAGGTAATGCCACAATGTGATTTATTTGATATTTTCCAAATTTTTATGGTTATTTTGGATACTAGGCCTCTTGGGGTTCACATTACATTCACGTCTCGCAATCACTGTTGTTCTTAGAGCCTACTAAAATGATTTCGCTACCTCATGCAAACTAATAGCTTGAATAAATACGCCTTGATAATGCTGTCAAATAGACATCATATACAAATGCTCTGTCTACGTTCTCTAGTATGTTTACAATGTTAGGAAAAATATAATGTAATTGCCTAACTTCATGTCATTGCAATCATTCAAATTTCATAGCATGATCTGTATTTCTAACTTTATAGACTGTAATCTTGTAGGAGCCCTATAATCATAACACAAATCTGGAGTAATAAGGTCTATAAACATGTCTTTAGATATTTAATGATTTAAAAATAAGCCATTAATAATATATAATCAACCTTAAATGATTAGCAAGTATATTTTGTTAAAAGATCTGTCTTAGAAGAAAATAGCCTATTCACGACTTATGCTACTAGCTTATATTCCATAATTATCAACCACTGATTAACACTTATATAAGGCCCAATCTGCAAGGCGTGTTTCTTCATAGGAAATTAATAAGATTACTCGATTGGCATTATTTTGTTTTGCGTAGCCCGCTCCTCTTCCCTCCCTTTACGCTTTTTGTTTTTCTTTTCATTGTATTGCCGCGCTGCTTGGCTTGAAGGCGGTATGAATGCACCGCCTCACCATAACCAATACCAGTACCACCCGCAATACCAGGGTGGGCCTGCGATGGGCCATCCAGGGTATGGGTGGCAACCACAGCGTTTTGGTGCAGAAAGCGCAAGGCGCGCCGGGTCTGGGTCGGCCCAGGGAGGCCAAGCGGGGAAAGATGATAAGACTAGCCCATTTACGTCAACTGTGCATTCTCATCCTGGCTTTCAACCGCAAAAGATTGGAAAAGGCGGTAGCGGGGTGAGTTTCTTATGTCTACTATAACATAAGTGTTGGTATTCGAGCTAGTTATTATCCATCATAACTTCTTGTTCCATACTTTTTCCAAAGTTAATAAAGGAAATTCTTATTCTAGTTTGTAATTCATTTTCCAGAGTGCTGGTCTGCCAAAACCACCAAAACCCCCAGAAAAGCCCTTGATGCCATACATGAGGTATTCACGAAGAGTCTGGGATACGGTCAAGGCGGCGAATCCTGATCTTAAATTGTGGGAAATCGGTAGGATTATTGGGGGGATGTGGAGGGATCTTCCACAATCGGAAAAGTATGCGTACGTCGATGAATATGAAGCTGAAAAGGTATGGAATTTTTAATTGTAATGAAGTTAAATACATACTTGAAAAAAAGGTTTAACGAAATTTGTATCACCCGAGGGATTTGAATCCGCGACGGACGGTATTCCGCATTAGTTTTTTTTTTTAAAGCAAATGCCACTTAAAACTTTTAAAACTTCTAACTCTAAAAGTATTCCTTGATTCAGGTGAAATTTAGTTACAATCTGAAGAAATAAATTGATGTGTTTAAAAAAAAAGAGGTTAAGTTATCTTATGTTTTTAATGTAAGGAAATACACAAACTTTTCATTTGTATGCTAAAAACATATTCTTATAGAAAATCCTTGCAGTTTGTAGAAATGTATCTATCGTAATCATAATATTAAGCCAGACAGAGATAATTGTTATTTATCTATTATTTTAATATATAAAAAAAAAAACATTCTGTACGCCAGGATTCCTGATAAAAAAGCAGGAAGTTGCATTTAAGTTTTCTGTTTTGTTAAACGTAGGCGCAGTATACAGAATTGTTGAAAGCTTATCAATCTTCCCCGGCATATTTGCAATGGCTCGCGAAGACCAGAGGTACTATATTGGCCTAAATTGCCACGGGCTATTGTGTGTACCCTTCTCGCATTCACCTCATGCTTTTACCCCAATGGCGGTTTTGTTTTGCTATATTCACTTCATACGTCATACTTAAAAAAGGTTAATCACACCAAATCGAAAATTACAAAAATTTAAAATGAATGGAATCGGACACACAGTGTTTCGTTTATAATTTATTTATAGATCATTTTTAATATACGTAATATCTATAAATTATTTTTACTTAAAACCTTTTTCATAGTTGCAACACAATAAAATATCAGTGTTCCGAAGGTATGGCTAAGTTGTCCTTTCCTTTATACGTAGTTATTTTAAGATCACATATTGAGTGAAACCAAATGCAAAACCGATCACTCCCATCCATAAGCCAGTAAGAATGTGACTAACTCGCACCACAACGTTTTTTCCATGCACTTTCACCTCATATAACTAACGCACGGTACAGTCGGAGTACGAAAAGAGCTTGAAGGCATATCACAATTCTCCCCCGTACCTGGCTTACATAGCCGCGAAGAATAAGGCTGTTGGTAAGTTCATTATTATATATAAGTCCGTTTCATGTGAAGTACATGGTAAAAACTCTTTTTTACTAAGTGGTTTTATGAAGTAAGTTGGTCATAAGCCTCCTGTGTCATAATTAAATGAATCTATTCTCTCTACTCATGAACCCGAATCAGTGTAAAGGAAACAGGAAAAAATACAAAGAAATTAAATTAAAAGTGCTAGAATATTTATCATGAACACCTTTTTATGACTTATGACAAATATAAATTATTACAAGTAGCTTATCATGCTTTTGTGAATTGCCTTGTGCTTTGTCATAATTATTTGTTAGTGTTATGAGCCTGTATTTTTTATCAATTAATTTAATTTAAATGCTTTAGTTGGAGCTTTGGAAGAAGAAAGTTCGAGTAAAAAGGGCAGTTCACAAAAAGACCAGCAGCAACAGGATAGAAGAATTGATATACAACCAGCTGAAGACGAAGAAGGTAAAACATTGTTATTTTCTGTAAATAAACCTTCACCTATTGTATATGTATACACGATTAAATGTTTGTGACATATCTGTAAGAAGAATTTTCTTTTTAAAGTTTTTAATTGCACTTTGTGTTTGATCTGTATGAAGACTTTTCGATAAAACCTGGTTTTATTATTTTATTTGCGAACGCACATATTAGGTACACTTTATGCTAATGTAATCAAAATAACGATTAAAAAATATAATTAGGTAATTTATTAAAAACCAAAATGGGTCAAGCAATTTAAAATGTATGTTTATTTTCAAGACCAAGACGAAGGTCTGTCCGTGAAACATGTTGCATATGCCCGCTATCTGAGAAACCATCGCCTTATCAACGAGATATTTTCTGATACTGTAGTACCGGACGTTCGATCCGTGGTCACCACAGCAAGAATGCAGGTTTGTGGATACATTTAAAATAATTATCACAGAAACATAATCATATTGGTCCTTCGAGTCAGATATTACAAAGAAGTTAAACACTTTCAGATACTAATGAAGCAAGTTCAATCCTTGACAATGCATCAAAAGAAACTAGAAGATGAGTTGCAGCAAATTGAAGAGAAATTCGAAGCCAAGAAGCGCAAGTTTATCGAAAGTAGCGAGTCTTTTCAGGAGGAACTTAAGAAGGTGACTTTTCATATCAACCAATCAAGTCAAATATATACAAATCTTTTTTTTTTATAATCGTGTAATTTTTTTTGTTGATCTCAAATCATATTTTACAATATATATCGTAGCATTGCAAACCAGCGGTAGACGAAGAAACATTTAACCGTATGGTAGACAGAACCTTGGAACAAATGCGACGTGGCGTAAATCCTGCGCATGCCAGTGCAGCACGAGAGAGGAAAGATGAGGTTAATAATACTAATATTTTTACCTGTTTAATAATTTATATATAACATAGATTACAAAACCAATTCAGACTACTATTATAAATAAAGAACACTATGATAGTCTGTCAATAATTTCATATAATATTTTGGAGGCTTACAGAAATGCCTGTACAAAGAGTCAAATTCTTTGAATAAATCAATTTAAGCTTAACTATTCTTTACAATTGCTTAGTGAATTTGCCGCTTTGTTTATAGTTACTAATAATTTTCTCATTTTTCCAAGCGTGTGAAACTCTATATTCACATACACTCGATTATAAATTTCAGCCTGGCAACGGAGAGCCCACTCCGCAACCAATTAAGGCAGAAAGTAACGGACCAAACGCTCCAACTCAAGTGGACAAGGTGTCGACTAGTGAAGTGAAGATGGACGAGAATATGACCACGGAGCTTAAGAAGCCAGATGTGAAGGAAGCCGCACCGCCAGATAGCACGCCGTTAAATGACCACGAAAGTAAATCTTGTCTATACTCATAAAAACGTTCAAATCCCATTCTTCTAACGTTGAAAACATGTGTGTCTTATTGATCTATTATTTTAAACAGCAAGTAGATAATACTTCTGCACAGTACCATATCAAACAATATTACCGAATATTCCTAATATAAATAAATATTCCTTGTCTTGTCTGTATTTCGAAAAAAACTGTATATATGTATATTTTTAAATAATACGATGAAAAACACACTTATTACCTTTCTTGTCTAGGCAAAGATGATAAACCACACGAAATGAAAATGGAGACTAAAGACGCTCCCCTTCCACATCCTCCACCGCCGCAAGCTCATATGGCAACACCGCCTAACCCAGGTAAGAAATAAAAGAAAAAAGTCTAGATACTACTAAGTCTACTTTTTTCATAATTAAAGAAAAAAGGACAAAATTATCCTGACATAATACCAGCCATGAAACTACTATACCGTTATGATTAAATCATTGTTATTGTTTTTAGCTATGATGATGCCACCAAACCCCAATGCGCCCGCGCACCAGCCACCCCCTCATGGAGGACCCCCACCGCCTCCAGGTTGATTTTTTAAATTCTCGTACATTTGGTGGTACATTTATTTAGTAATATCAAATCACAATAAAAACATTTGCACCTTTATTTGTATGCATAAAAATACTAACATTTGTGACTTAACATTGGTATTGATGGACATTACCTGGAAACATAACAAAAAATATAACATTACTAATATTGTGTATACTTTAGGTGGTTACGGTGGTGCTTACGGAGGTCGGTACTATCCGGGCTATGCAGGTGGTTACCCGGCCGGATATCCGCATTACTACCCGCCCGAGCACTATCCCCCGCATCACCCGCACCCGCATCCCCATCATGATGTCAAGCGTAAGTGCATAATCCCTCCATGACCCTCATGTCCTTAACCCAAAATTCGATTAAAAACGCTACTTATTTGGATTATCATTTAAAAGCAAATTCATCACAAAACGCACACAGAATCTGCTCATTACATGCCAAACAGCAGGAAATGGGTCACTTTTATGTGAATAACATACACTATGTATGTATACATGCTTATACGTTAAAAATAATTGTAGAAATTAGGAAGATACCACTTAGGGTTACTCAGAGCATGTATCGATATCAAGGTGTTATTTTATATTATATTCATAATAAATAATATTGTATAAATAAAAAAATTGGATTTAGATTGATTAAATTGAGCTAGCGGGTCTACGTGTCCAACGCCCAGTTGTTCAATTGGTTAAAGCAACAGCACGGAGCACTGTTGCCGCGGTTCAAGTCCACCCCTGTAATGTAATTTTTTTTCAATCTAAAATAGATTTTTAATGTATATAATGCCATCATGTGCGCAATTACATGTGAAAAATATTAAAGGTATAACTTAGTACAAACTTTTAACGATTAAAAATGATCACATACCCATAATCCAATCTCAAGTATCCCCATGACCACTCTTACTGCAGAGCATCCGAAACGTAGAATCATAGTTAATAATACGTTAACTTATATTTTAGCCCCTGAGGAGCCGCCGGCCAAAAAGGAGAACGAATGATTGTCACCAAAACGCGTCGTCAAACGACGGCGCAAGTCCTCCTCGAAGGAGGGCGCTTAACTCCTCAATCACATATCAGAGATGTTACACGCAGAGCCTCAAGATATGTGAAAAGTGAAGTTAATATGTGACAAGACTCTGAAGAATAGTTTGTATACATTATAAACAAGGCTTAAGACGGTACTGTTCGGTGGTAGAAATGATAATTCTCTAGCCTTGTTTGTTGGGAAGGGGAATGCCCATTACAGGCCACAATTTGTCCACTTGGGCACGTAAATTATGGTTAGCAATTCAATTTTCAATAATTATGTTTATCAATATTAGATTTAACTTGGTTATTTTTAGCATTCCTTTGTATCACCACTTTCGTGGATCAATTACAAGGGCGCTCACTTGTAAAACATTAACACCAGCTACCCTGGTTTTGAATACTGGGGATAAATTGTACGGAGTTTACTTTTATATTGTATGGAGTTATGTAGTTCTAACTACAGTATCTTAGTTGTATGATGAGTGGTTGAGTATTCATAATTTTTAATGGAATGTGTGGGTTTGGTATTATAGAATAAGCTTATCTATTAATTTAGTAACTCATGATAAACTAACATTATGGGTGAAAAAAGAATTCAATAATGGAAGCCTATATAAAAAGGATTTTGAAAAAATAATTTAGTAATTTCAAATTAGTTATATAAAATAAGCTTCGTAAAAACAATACTTTTTCTATGGTTAGTACATAATTAATATAGTAATATGTAAGAAAAATATATATCCTGCTGGAAATATGTTTGTTTCTTTTATCAAGTGTTGCCATTATAACCTAAATAATAAATAGTTGCGTATCGGGTATTGGTTTAATTATATAAAAGAATCTAATTATGCAAATCCACTTTATTCTAGAAAGATTTTTTGTAATTTTACTTATGGAAGTTCTATTTGCAAGGATTGATAAAATCAGGCTGGTCGAAATTGCACTTTTGAAATAGTTCTTACAATTAAATTACTACATTACTGTTGTACAAAGGAAATTCTCAACATATCACGCATGTAATATTTGTGCATCGTAACTTCAACCTTAACATTATATGTAAAGCGGTAGGTACATTTAATCCTAATTTTCAAATGAATAATGAAGACTATTTGCACAATCACAGGTAAAATTAAACAAAAAATAATTGCACCTTAATTATGAAATTATAGTAATATCTTAATTTATAAATCATCTTGCACACGGTTACTGTTTCTACCAAACTCTGCTATGATGGGACGTCCTGAGAGTATTGTTCCATTCACCTCGTCTAATGCCTGTATCGCCAAATCTTCATCTGTTGATAAATAAATTTTGTGCTAGTTATTAACATTGACATATTGTATAAGACTGTTTTTTCCAATAAGGAGATCATTGAAATTGTAAATATATGTACATGATATTCATTCTGGAAGTTGTATAAATGAATGACCAACAATATACTGTGGATACCGTTACATTGGAGTACTAAATACTAAAATTAGAACAAATCTTATAGTACCAAGACTACATACACTTTAGTCTAATAACAAGAAAAAACAAATACCCACTTCTAAACGTAACAAATGCCTGTCCTCTCATTCGGCCCCCTAATAATCTGACATCTATTGGTCCGCCATTTTCAAGCTGAAATTGGTTGAATAATAGGGATAGTTTATCTGGAGTAACTGAAGGCGCAATATTCTTGAGGTATAAAACCTATAAAAAGATAATTATTTATATATACATGAAATAGTGTAAAATTGTCTATAGTTACCCAATATCAAATATATATATATGCATATACTGCATAACCAACCTTAGATGGTATCCCTGGTTTATAATCTCTAAATCTCTCAATACTTTTAATATCTTCCAAGTTCATTTTAGTACCTTCAAGTAATCGTTCTTCTGCTCGGTTCCGTGGGATAACAATATCAACTGCTCTGAATTCATCTTGATTTTCTTGTTCCAACCTAACTATTCTATTCTCCTTTATCGTGTACATAGTCCTGTCTTTTGGTCCAATGGTGGGTCTGCAAAAAAAAAATTGTAATTAGTAGAGAAGCAATTCTTTCATGGTTTATTATGGGTATTTTTACTTGAAATTGTCATAAATGAGATGAAAAGTGTAGAGTCTTAAATGTTGCAAAAAGTTATAAAACTTGATATTGAAGATAGTTTAGATATTTTTTTCGAAGTTCATTTAAGGCCCATGATTACAAACCTCGTAGGCTGTTCAGCTATTCTACCTGCTATGTCTTTAACATCCCACAAACTTCCCAATTTTGGTATTGACACACTTGGAGATGGCTTTAAATGTATTTCCTTTTGGTGTGCTAGAATTCTATCTTTTCTCCTTTCTAATCTTCGTAAAATTTTCCTCCTTTTGGTGATAGGCAGTATATCATCATTACGTAAGTGCCCAAAGAGGTTTTCCTCGATTTCTTTTAGTTCATTAATAGGATGGCCCTCAGGGTAGAAGTTTATAGTTTTTCTGTAAGAGTGTTCTGTGTTGTGGGTTGATGTACCAGGGATGGGTTCACCTTGCTTTGATAATCTACAAAAAATATCTCTAATATTACTAAGAACTACTAAATACTAAAATATAACAGCTCAGCTCATAAATAACTTGCTAACTATGCAAAATAGTCTTTCCATATGCTATAAGCTATAATAATATTGAAAAATAAACAAACCTATCTTTAGTCTCTTGATAATCACGAATTTTTGTGTACACTGCATGTAACTTTTCCTTCAAAGCTGTAGATTCAACTTTTTTCTGTTGGTCAAGAAGCCCAGCTTCATTTTTTTCATACAATTTGACTTCCTCATCAGTCAAACCAGCTTTCTTTAATAATTCCAGGTGCTGAATATGTTCTTCAGCATTTTGAAACTCTGCAAGGGTAGACACACCGTATTTAGTGAATGGTAGCACGTCAGAAGTCTTTTCAAACTCTTTAGGTAACTCGGTACTGTAAATAAAAAGAATTTTGAAACATAGTGACCTTATGATATTAGTATTCAACAAAAATTGTGTGAAAAACAATAGCGTTGCAGCACTTACCACATTTTATAAATAGTAAAAAAATATTATAAACCACGATTACATTCTGGGAGCAAACAGATAGACGATATAGATTTCTTATATTTTGTACGTAACAAATTTTTCAAAGTAAAAGGTTTATTGTAATATCTAAAAGAACATTACACACAAAAATTAGAAGAATTATAAACAAATCAAAATTAACGCAAATGAAACGCCAAGTTAAATATGGCTACGACACGTAAATGGAAATACAGCTAATAAAATGTTATATGTCAATTGTCAACATAATTAACAACTGGTAATTGATCAACGACGTGAAGTTGACACGAGACCTTTTAGTTTTAAAAATCAAAAGTTCAAAACATTTTGGAAAGTGCGTTTTTGCAAGTGAGCGCGAATTTGTGCTAATTACAAACTATTTTCAAGTAGTAAATAAAGTATAATGAAAAAATGGTGGAATTGGGTCCTGGCTTTTGCTTTAGTGTGTTTGTTATTTGTGGCGATACCTCTTTCCTACACAGGAGGTAGGAGTAAAGAGGAATTAAAACCAATGTTCGAAGAATACGTGAGAAAATATAATAAAAGTTATGTTAATGATTCCGCCGAATATGCTACAAGATTTGAACATTTCGTGGTAAGTTTATCCATTTAACAGCGTATGAATAACTTTATATCTTAAATTTTTATAAATACTATACACAATTATGTAAATTTAATGTCGTGTGTTAATTATGATTCCAAGATAAAATATTTTTTGTAAACAACTTGGTATTCTTTGTGGTTAATTATAATGTGTATTATATTATTTTCGCATCTAAACTTGTTTAGGTATGCAGAGTATAATCAATGCATAATTGATAAAGAATAGAAATTTAATTGAACTCTTGTTATTCAGTAATGAGAGGGAGTAAATGTGAAATATTTTATTGAACAAATTCAAAAATAGAATTCTAAAGCATTAATCACATATTCTATAATTATGAGTTTTTAATTTTTTTAAATTATATAGGCCTCAGTTCAAGAAATAGATGAATTGAACTCGGCAGCTAGAGGTCCAGAACAGTACCGTGCCAAATATGGCCTAACACATTTGTCTGATATGTCCAAATTGGAGTTTCAAGAGCTACATTTGTCGGATGAACAACCAAATAGACGATCACATAGTCATAAGCAATCCTTTGTGCCTCAATCATACTACAAAGACGGATATGTCACTGATGATGAAAAAAGAGATATAGATCCAATAGTTATACATGATAACATTTACATCATCATAAAGAATAGAGCGGCAAGGGCTATAGGTTCCTTACCAATGCAAATTGACTGGTAAGTTTTTTAATGTGTTTATGATTTAAAAAGTGTAAATGCATTATGCTCTAAATAAATATATTTTTTAAATTTGCCAAACACTTAAATTATATAATGTTGATATTAAGGTTTACTTATGTTAAGGCAAGGTCGGTAAGCTATGTTAGAACCTAGCACTATGTATTACATAATAAAAGTTTACTCGTATTACTAATATTCCTATATTTAAGAATTTAAAAACTATTGTATTTACTGTTTTATAATTGTAGTCAGATTGTACAAGATGTTGTAATATTAATATATATTACTGCCTTCATAGTCCAATGTCTAAAGCTGTAGTTTAGCATTGCATTCGGTCCTGTGTTCCAATTCCAGGGAAAATTTAAATTGTCTTGTTGAAACGGCAGAAAAGTATGATCATATAGGTATATTTGCTTGTAAATAAAATCTACTAGTGAAGCAAAAATAAAAGTGAGCCTTTGCCCTTGTATGGTGAAACAAGTTTTTCTTTTAAAAATGTTCATAAAACTGCTTCAAGTCATAATTATATTATGCACGCGACATTTAATACTTGAAATCTGATATTCATTACGGAATTACGCAAAGATAAATAAGAAGTATGTAAAGAAGCCTCCTACATATGTACATATGCAGGTACACAGATGCTTCGGTCTATGGATGTATGATCATGCCTGGAATGACAGGTTGTGGTTTTAAAATCCCAAAAAAAATCCGTCAGATAGGGCACAAACGTCGGCCTGATACCGGTATACCGAAGCTCCACTTGGGGAAAACAGCATTTGACTTCATACAAGGAATAGGCCCTTAAGAAATTTTTATGAGTTGCCTTTTAGACACAGTCCATGCTTCGGTGTAGTTTTGTTCAATCATTCTTTATATGAAAAAATATGACGTTATACGTAAATTGATCTCGCTCAAGGTTATCGGCTTTTAATAAAAATAGCATTCAATTAATATCGGAGAATTTCTTGACCTGTGCCTATATTGTTTTTAGTCGGTCCAGTAGCCGTCATAATTAGTAGTAATTAATTTATGAAAGTTATTGAATCAATAGCATCTTGAGCGCGTAAGGATTGATAGGTATTTGTATTCTGAGGTACCTAGTCACTAGTGACCTATTTAAATTAAATCTTCTAATTTTAAGGCTTGTTGGTAATATATGGCTAATATTCGTGGATTGTTGGTTCGATCCCCACCGGGTCTTACATGTTTATATTCCGTCCGTCCATTTCGTTGACTCCGTCTGGAAATCTGGATATTAAGTAAATGTCTGGTATGAATTTCGAAAATCGCGTTCACATCACGAACCCCCCTGTCCACAAATGAAAAAGACGTTAAGTTTAATCGTGTTGTATTGGATGTCCGAATATCCAAAGCCAAAATAGGTTGAAAGCGCGTCGTGTTAGATGTTATAGGGCTGGCGATGTTCATTTTCCATCAACTCCTTGCATTTCCGTCCTCTTCTATAAGAAAAGTATCCAACATTAAGGGCACTAAGAATCTGGTCTTCGAACACGAACATGTATATGACACAGCTCTATAGGTAATTCCATACATTCAGGTCAAAAAACCGGTTAAGAATTATAGTGGAAATTATGTATCTAATAATGATATCTATTTGGCGTAAAACTAAGCTATGATTAGACGATTCTTAAGAAAACTAGTTTTGTATGACGTCTTTTGTACCTCATAAACATTTTAATATTGCATTCATTGAGACAGCTAAATCTCTTTGATATTTATCGATACTTTTAATGCATCATGAATTCAAAACATTTCTTCTATATGTAGTTTAAATTGTAAAGTATGCAACTGTCGTAGTAAGGGATTTTTATTTTCCTTTGACATTAACTGCTTTCCTGTATTGAAAAAATTTAGCCTTATATAATATGTGATCAAAGATTTGACTGGAGCAACTGTGTGCTTTACTTTTCTCATCTGAATGTTTGTATATAATATGTTTATTTAATAACTTTAAGAAGTTCACGTGTATTATTTTAAAACATATATCTTTTTTCAAGCTTTATATGTAACGAATTCGGAATTTATAAGCCGAAGATGTATTGCAAATTTATTCTTATTCAGAATTATAGATATGCTTGGATACTTAGGTTTTTATTTTATACATAATTTACATATGATGTAAGCAATACATTGTTATGAGGTTCCGAGCATATTTGCATAATTTCATTAAAATCGGTCGTGTAGATTAGGCTCAAGAAGTCTTTTTCTAATTAACAGAAAATTAATTATAAGTACCGATACTAGAATGAATGACAATCATTAAGACAATCTTTAAAATTTGTATAGATTAAATTTTAGAATTTTTGTTTTTGGAAATAATTCTAAATGTATGTTATAAGTCAAGTCAAGGCGGGACCCTGTATAATATTAAATTAAAACTATTAAATAAATTTAATGATTAACATATAGACACGAAACCCATAAGCCTGTTGTAATACTTTGCTCTTCTGTTTTACAGGCGTACAAAGGGCGTCATAGGACCAATTAAAGACCAGGGCCTTTGCGGTGCCTGCTGGGCCTTCAGCACAGTAGGAGCTATGGAAGCAATGGCAGCTATCAGCACTGGAAAGTTTCAACCGCTCAGTGTTCAGGTGAGGGGCTGCGAATTGTATGGTAATATTTCTTTCACATAAATTAGTAGTAGGAGGAGAATAACGCTTGTGTAATGTTACGGCTAATAATCAACGTGATGTGGGTGTGATTTCGGTCCAACATTTTTCTTAACAATTTAAAAAATCTGAAGCAATGTTGGTCTTCATCTGGAAATTTGGATATTAAACGTTGGATATCGAAGGTCCGTCCGGATCACGAACCACGGTCGGTTTCGGTTTCAGTCTGTGGATTTCCGAATATCCAAAGCCAAAATAGTCGACAGCGCAACTTGTTTAGATTCTATAGGCTTATCCTTTATCATAAAAAATAAATGAAAATAAACGTGCAATCAATATTCACTTCACGCAAACTAGAATTAATATTGGTTTCTGGTTTTTGGAAACTTTCAATTTATTTAAGCAAAATCATCATTATTTGAAACTTAAATCTACAGCATGGGTCATATTAAAGATGCACCGCAAACGGTTACCAAAAATAAACTATAGTACAGGTTCGTACTCGATACTATGTTCGTTCGTTGAACTTTCCAAAAATATCTCATTGCTCTCAGGCTCAGGTAACTTAAGGTTGCAGTCTCAAAATTGCGTAAACAATGACTTCTGCGTATTAAAACTTAAAGGAACTATAAGAAATTAAAAAGAATATAATTTAAAAACCTTTATTCGATAATTTTATTTTACCTTTAAACGAAGAAAATTATATATATCTGTTTAGTATAAGAGTCTTTCAAGCTTCTTCTGTATACTACATACTTAATTATATTATGCTAGCTGTGCCAGCGACTTCTTCCGCTAAGAATATTTATTTTGGGCATCCAAACTCGTTTTTGCAAACACCTTTATCTTTATAAACTTAAGCTCTTACCCACGATGTCGGTTGCGTCCCTTCCCGTTTAAAATTAACTTGTTTCTTAAGTTAATATTAAAAGATAGACACATAGCTTCGCGGACTATTCTTTAGATCATCTAAAGAGAAATCATTTTTTCATACCTAAATATTTTTTGGTATCTTGAGCCTTTTTTGCAGCGTTCGCCTCAGTAACCCATAATGATAAATGATTCTCCCAATTTTATCTCATTCACCGCTGTATCTCGCATTAGTCACAGCGCGATAAATGCTTTAACTAACACAAAAATAATTTTTAAATTCGAACCAATAGTTCCTGAAATTAGCGGGTTCGAACAAACAAAGTCTTTAGCTTTATATATTAGTATAGTTGTGTGTCGTGTAGACGTTAAGCTATCTATAGATTTCCATATAGATTCCCCATTCTGCAGCAAAGGATAATTCCACTGTATAATCTGTGGGAAACCTGAAAAATGTGCAAGCTGCAACGCATAAAAGCAGCAAGCTCGCAAAGCTGCTTAGCACCGTCTGGGGTTAAGTACACCGTATTATTATGGACGTGTTATCATATGTCAGGAACTGATCGTATTTCCTTTGGCTACTGCCGGAGAGTACGTGCGTGTCTATGAAAATAATAATTTACGCTATATACTGCAGGCATATTTCTTTGTTCGGTTTAATAATACTATTAGTTCGAATTAGTTTATGAGATTATTAGAGTTTGAGCCTTTATCAAGGAAGACTTTAGGCAAAAATACATCATGATGCGATCTGTAGGAGCGAAGAAACAGTAAGAAATGTGAAAAAAAAACGGGAAAATATATTCAATTTAATTTATTGTCAATTTTCGTTAATTTATTGATACCGTAATATTTTAAGGAGGCTGGTCATGCCGTAAAATCAGAATATTTGTAGGTAAAGAAACATCCGCTACTTTTTTATTTTATTCTAAGTTACATTCAATTTTGACATTTACGAAGTATTTGCGTGATCAGAACTTCCTCTTCATCAGGATATTATTTTTATTATATATGCATACAACATATATCCGCTTTTAGTTTTGTTACTAAAAAACACATGTTTATTAAAAAATACCTCAGGTAGGTTACAAAACTACATGTATGAAAAAAAAACAATTTTCCTTCAAAAAAACCACCGATACGTAAATTCAAAGAATTTGTTTATTATATGCTCACAATAGCTCACATTTTTTTCGGAATATAAATAAATTATTCTTCTATTTGTACTAATTACAATAATTATTTAAGTATTTATTGTTATTATTATTGATTTTAATTTTCTGAAACGTTTAATACACATATTTTAAAAATTACATAACTTTATTTTTTCATTATTTTCCTTCCAGGAAGTAATAGACTGCGCAGGATTAGGGAACAGCGGTTGCGCTGGTGGCGACATTTGCCTCCTTCTAGATTGGCTGATGATGACAAATTCAGTAGTGGAAACGGACAAAGAGTATCCACTCAAGCTGACGAACGGCGTATGTGTGATGAACAAGAACGCGACCGGTGTACGAGTGAAGTCATTCACATGCGATGAGTGAGTGAATGATGCATATGCAAAAACCACCCAGGTCACCCCCCCTTCTTAATATGTTTTATTTTAATCTTTACTACTCGCGAAAACTATAGACAGTATTTAACTTATAATTTGCTTAGTATTGCTTTTTTGATTCAATATCCGTACAATTGTAAAAATTTTAAATTTGTTGAGATGCAACGCACTTTATCTATACGCCACGTGTCACTACTACAATCGCTTCAATGAAAACAAAGCTAATTAAATATATATATATTAAAAGCGGCCCATAGACGTGCAATATCCCGGGTAGTACAATAAAGTTGATCGTGTGTAGACGACATGGAATGGTTGTTCAAAATATTGCACAAACGGGAAAGAATGGTGTTGTTTGTAGGCAACGATGTGCAATATCACCCCCACAATTCAATTTATTGCTCAAACTAACTTATTGTACAATAATATTGACATGTTACATGACTGTTTTTTGCTACACTGTATTTGGTAACTGTATTTTTCTTTATAGCTTTGTTGGGACAGAGGACAAAATATTAAAATCGATAGCTACTCACGGGCCAGTGGCGGTAGCTGTGAATGCTCTAACGTGGCAGAATTACCTCGGCGGAGTCATACAATACCATTGCAGGTTAGTGGAAACTTATAACCACACTGTGGTATGGGCCTGACACATCGATAATTCTTTTAAATCACACATCTTACTATGCACATACACGTATGAGGTATCATTAGGGATGAAAAATAATCAGAGGTGATTTGCATGACTTGCGAAATACAGAAAATGATAATTCTACCAATATATCTAAATATTCAAGGCACAGAAACAGAACTAGTAAACGATGGCGCAATGTGTGTAGTGTTAATTATACTACTCTTTGACCAGCTGGAAATCTGACAACAGCGCAATCTAAGTTGCTAATTTCGTTCTTTATTTGTATTTAGACTCCACGCATACATATAGAGATACTAATTTATAAGCTGAAGAGTTTGTTTGTATGAACTACGGATTCTTGGAAACTATGTGTAAATTGAAAGATATATTTTTGTGTTGGTTAGAGTATTTATCGAGTAAGGCAATAGGTTATAAAATATCGCCCTGTGACTAATAAAAGCGAAGATAGAGTAAGAAATGTGAATAAATTTGGGAAAATTATTCATCATTACGGGTTTCCGAAGCGTACGCTGCTAAAACGGTGCTAGATATCCAAAAAAATATGTTTGAAATTATGATTCCTCTTTATATGATCTAAAAAAAGTCCGTGTCAAACGAATTTGGATCATCCATAAAATAAAGATTCACGCGGACGACGTCGCTGACGCAGCTAGTTATTAATATGCTCATATGTGCATTAATTTATATCTATTATTTTCAGTGGAACAGCGAAAGACCTCAACCACGCTGTAGAGCTGGTCGGCTACGACTTAACAGCAGATGTACCGTACTACATTGCTAAGAATTCGTGGGGTCCTAGCTTTGGGCTAGATGGTTATATCCACTTAGCGATCGGCTCTAACATATGCGGACTTGCCAATGAAGTCGCCTCCGTCGACGTCACGGTTTAAAACTACCCGCAAAAACGAAAATGACGGTATTGCGTAAATTTTTTGATAGACTGAACGTGATGTCTTGCTCGAATTTTTTACTGAATGTTTTTATTTTTATATAGGCCGGACTCGAAACTCACGACGTTTGTTGTGGCTTCGAATACCGCTACTGTCCAACGAATTTATATCATGAACAACTAAATATTATGAACTATATCATTAAAATGGCTCTTGGCCACTTTAAAATTTATGTTGTCACAAAATTATATTTTAAGATTTAAGTTTACCATTATTTCTTAAATTTAAATATGCATTCCATATATTATTTTAACTGTATGTGCATACAACACATATGCTGTTATTTTACACATGTTAAATAAAACAAGGTTACAATTGTAGTTACAAAACTACAGTCCAAGATATATAATCTAAAAATTTTAGGTACGAATTACCTAATACATAGTTTTATTTCGTTTCTTGCCAATTCCTTGTCTAAGTTTTTGATACTTTTACTATATACTACAATCCGTCCAATTATATACAATTGTTTAATATGTTTATTGAATTGAAACATCATTTACATTATATATACCAAAAGAACTAATTGATATAGATTCCACGGGCCCGTTGGTAATGGTAACGGGCTAATGGTAGCACTGTATGGCTAATAAATAATGTTCGTGGGTTCGATCTATAAAAGTAGGAATATAGAAATTGTGCCCGGGTCACGAACCACCGACGACAGATGAAAAAGCCGTAAAGCTTACTCGCGCAGCTACGATCAAGTGGACCCCACGCTTCATTAAAACAATATATACAGCATTTATAGTATAGACGTATTTATTTTATGGACATATTTATATTAAGGGCATCGAATCTTCATACAATAAAATCTTTCAATGTTTTTTTTATTTTAAGTACATACCTTATCTCATTTAAATCTTTAATGCACTCGACACATAAATTTAAGTTACTCTATTAAACAGTTTTTAATAATTTAAAAAATTGGTTTAATCGATAAAAGAAGTTGGAAGTTTATTTCGTCTTCTAAGTATACCTTTAAACATATTTTTAAAATATAACTACACACTTGGGTAAGTTATTATTTTAGGTAATCATTAATGTTATATTTTGTTTCATGTTATGTTTCAGTACTGTTATATGTTAGGTTCGAAAAACTAAGCACTCTTGATATAGCACTAATTCTAGTTTTTTACTTAACCAATAAGTTGATAATAATATTATCTCCGAAATAAATACTTTTTTCAAATCAACATTTCGTTGTATTGGATACAGCACTTTGTCTAGAAGCAACGTAATCTAATTTGGTATATAAATGTTAAAATGAAGGTGTCAATCATAGATAAGTTTTCTTGTTGAGTTTGCGCTTTGAACTACTGTAAGATACTATGTATATGTAAAGCTACTCGGGTTTTTAATTTATACGACTGTCTCGATTATGTTTCGCCGTTTCGTCGTAACGAGGTATTTCTCAATTACGACGATCCCGGACGAAACTCGAGCAGCTTTGCTAAAGCCGTATACATTTTATACTCTATGTAAGTGCCTTATGTGAAATAAACCTTTTTGAATACACGTTTTATTTTAGTTGTAGTTTTATTATTCTTTAGCACTTCGACGAAATAAAATAAGAAATAATAATATATTAATTAAAATCCTTACTAATATTATAAATGCGAGAGTCTGAGAACTGTCTGTCTGTCTGTTACTCTTTCACGCCAAAACTACTGAACGGATTTAAATGCAATTTGGTACACAGATGGTCTAGACCCTGAGAAAGGACAAATGCTATTCTAGATTTTTTATTACGAAAAGAGGGTTGTAAGGCGTAAAAAGGGGGGTGAAAGTTGCAGGTGGGTATGGAAATTCGTGGTTTTTGAAGCAGAATGGAACTTTCTTCTTTGGCTTTTTGGGAATAGGTGTGGGAGTGGGAGTTAGAGTCGGAGTGATGTGATGTGAGAGTGTTGCGGCAAAGTAGCACTTACAACATAGATTGGCTGAGAGACATGCGACGCGCAATTACATAAATTAATAAACTGTCTAAATAATTAAAAATTCTACCCCAAGTCACTATTCCACTCGAACGAAGTCGCGGGTACAGCTAGTAGATTATAAATTGAAAAAGTTACGTCACGGACAGGACGTAAATTTTTTCGATAATATGTGAAAAATATTACTTGTCTATATGTAAAGTAGTACTGTAATTTTTTCAAAGAATCTTGCGTTGCGCCTGAGCTTTTTAAAGGTAATCTGTAAAAATTTAAAAAAATATTATCTGTGGGTAACATCTTTTAGTCAAACGGACTCAGTGACCACTTAAGGGACGCCGTAGCTTATCATTGAGAGTACCTTCGGCACAGGTCTCATTTTCTGGGGCCTTCTTTACTCTAGATTTGGGACTTCTACAACTTCAATTGCTACTTTTACATTCAAAACCATTAACTCGACTATCGTCACAATCTCCATTGATTTACAACTAAAAAATTTCCTTTTACAATTTAAGAACTTTAAATTGAGTAATGATAGCGATGATGGTATAAATTCACTGCCAAGGTCAATAACTCGGTAGTGAAGATCGCGCGCACGGAAACGTACCGAACTTCGTTTACAATTGTAACAAGTGTCACTTTCGTTAAACAAGGAATGATAACGCGTATCAGTTCACTGAGAGATCCTTAGGAGTTGACATTGTGAGTTGTTTACCAATTATTGGAAGTTACCGAAGTTTTCTTAAGCAAGGTAAGTAAGAAATTTAATAATATTGATATTGTTGAGAGTTAAGTGTTATTGATAGTAACAAGATGATAATGTTATAATAGTTGTTATCGAAAACACAATTTTTTTTATAATAACCGTACTAAAAGATTGTAAAGTGTTTAGTTATAGGGTTACTAAAATTTGTTTCTCTTTTGTTTTATCGTGTGCGTTATAAGTATATGTTTCATTTATGTTAATTAGCTTGAACAACTTAACATCCATTATTGTTTTAATAAATAAACGTTACTTATATTTTATTTTATAGGTACTCTCTAAGTGTCAATCTTAGCTTTGAATGCTATTTCAAATCAAAGTCAATAATGAAAAAAAATTTGTTAAAAGTGTTGCCTAGGGTTACGTTAATCGTGGTTGGTCCTGGATTCGATTCCGCGGAAATAATAGATTCTTTCTGTCGGGCAAAGCCTGTAAAGAAAACCTATCATTTATTCGGATACAGAAATATGTTCGCCCCATGCCCCACAGAGGGACACGGGATATCACAGATATTGAGACTAACTAAAGGATTTTTTTAAAGGAAACACCACTCAAAGTATATTGTAAAATAAAACTAAAATACACAGATATTTTCTACCTATTGATAAACAATTTTATGCAACTTGACTTCCAAATAAAACCGCAAACGTTATCAAATAATTATCAGACTTTTACCACCTTATATCGGTGGTTTGCTATGAATGTTATAAATTATAAATACTTCATATGTATAGGTACACTAGATATTTTGAAGTGCAGTGTTACATAGCGTACGTGTACCATATTTCATGCGTTCAGAGTGGTTAGTTAAATATTCAGCTGGACTTTTAAGTTTTCTGTGTAAAATGTACAATGTAATGAAGAGCGTTGTATTAATAAAGAGTAATAAATAATTTTACAATAGACTTTTTTTGAAATTGATGTCGAATTTATTGAAATATTTGACAACGTGTTCGGCAAGATATAATATAATTGTATTGAATTAATACTTTAGTGTTTAGACACCGAGCTAAGATCTACTATATAGAGTTCGACCCTCTTCAAAATAAAATATACTAAATTTCCGTTAATCTCGTGAAAAATATGCAGTTTTTAAATTTTTAGTCTACATCGCCAGTACACTTGTGTAAAAAATACCTATTGCATTTCTTTTATTTCAGTCAAACATGGTACATCTATCTGAGGAAAAGTTCGGAACATTTAAAAATGAACCGGTGAAGAAATTCATTTGGTATACTGAGAGTGGTCTATCTGTTTCTGTCATATCTTATGGAGCTATCATACAATCTATTCGGGTAAGTCGTGTTTTTTAAACAGTTTTAACCGCTTAAAACACGAGATATTTACCTAGATTAGTTACCTTCATTTTATTTTATTTCGCGTTTTCAACTGTTAAGTGTGTTTCATTTAAATGTTCTACTATATATAGTTTAATATATAATACTTCGCTGAAGGTCTTTTTTTTAAGGACATACTAAACCTTGTCTGCTGCTGTCCGTAACTGTCTGTAAATTAGTGAAACGGATTCAGAAATATGTATTGAACTTTTGTTTTAACACATATTTTACCAAACACCAAGCAGTTATCAAAGTGCTAACTAAACAACAAGTATTCTGATCCTTACAGGTACCCGATAAGAACGGTGAAACAAAAGATGTTGTACTAGGATTCGATGACTTAGAAGGGTATGTGAGCAGGAATACACCATACTTAGGCGCAACAGTAGGCCGCTGCGCCAACAGGATTGGTGGGGCCTCTTTTCAGATAGATGGAACAAAATATGAGGTCGCAAAGAATATTGGGAAAGATCATTTGCATGGTGGTATTGTGGGTTTTGACAAGGTTCGTATTTAAATCTATTAAGCTTGTAACCCGACTACGATAAAAAGACGACCCCAGCATAACTAAATACTAAACCGATTTTTAAACAATTATCTTATCTCAAATATTGTATAATGTGTTTTCAAAGAAGGGTCAACATTCTTTACATTGCATTTGACGATTTTTAGGTATCGAGTAGCTTATCTATACTAATATATAAAGCTGAAGAGTTTGTTTGTTTGAACGCGCTAATCTGAGGAACTACTTACTTGTGTAAATTGAAAGATATATTTTTGTGTTGGTAAGATTATTTATTGAGAAAGGCTATAGGCTATACACCACGCTACGACTTATAGGAGCGAAGAAACTATAAGTTGCAGTGTGATGTAGTACGCGGACGAAGTCGCTGACACAGCTAGTATCTTATAAGACGCGAGTTCGATTCCTTGTTGCACTTCAAAACAACATTTAATTTCTAATAAAATAGAAAACCCGTAAAAATACTATTTAACACTTGTTCTTCTTTGAAATGTTAGGAGGGATTTTATCAGACTCATATTTTTCTAGAACTTCTTGTATTTTGATGATGATGTTTTAGGCCAACTGGAACTCAACAGTAGATGGAAACAGGGTGATATTTAGTTACTTATCCAAAGATGGCGAAGAGAATTACCCAGGGAACCTGATCACCAATGTAATATACGAAGTCAAGGATGACGAACTGCACGTTCAGTTTGTCGCTACTACTGATAAGAAAACTGTGGTCAACCTGACTAATCATTCGTACTTCAACCTAGCTGGTCACGACGCGGGTGCTGATGGCTTATTTGACCATGTCATAATGGTGAATGCTGATCGGTAAGAATTTCTTACACTACTTTACTTACTCCGCTGGCGCAGCGACCCAAAGTGAGTCTTGGCCTCCGAAAATAAAGAGCGCTACATTCGCCGATCTAACGCGGCTGTTCGCTATTCGGCCACACCGAGCTCACGCAAGTCCTTCTCCACAGCGTCCTTCCAGCGATATCTTGGCTGGCCGACAGGTCGGCGACCAGTTGGAATTCCGATATACGCTTTCTTGACGCTTTCATTATTATTATTTATTATTGTACATAAATAATATAATAGTAAAAAATAATAGAATGCTAGACAGTAACTTCTAAACCATTTAAAACTGATATCTGCTATAGTAATTGTTGCCTAACTGTGTCATTCATTTATTATGTAAGAAAATTTGGGGGATTAGGGCATTGTCAATTTTTTTCTTACAAGAGAGCGGAAGGGAGTTTTGAAAGTTAGATGGGTACTTAAGATTACAATGCACAATGTTAAAATCATAATTGAGAGTGCTTTGAACCCCATGGACTGAAAATCTTATGTAGGTTAATATTTTCAGATGAATGATTAAAAACAAAATAAAAACATCTCTGTAAGTACGAAAAGAATTGTTTCTTTAGATTCGTTCGTAATAAATATTGCACAGAAGTGAAAGTGTAGGCCGAGTCTTGGTTTTTTCTTGTATTAAGGGGGGGAAGGGGTAAAAAAAAGTAGCGAAAATTATCTCACGTAATAAATAAAAGCTCCATTGCCTATTATACAAAACCGAAGTGCGTGTCCGCTAGGTAAACACGAGCATAAATTATACACCCCTAAAACAAATTATACACTTGCTTAAAAGTAAGGCAAGCTGGATACTAACATTGATCAATGTTTCTTGATACCTTGTTTCTTGTTGTAAAAAACTCTCCTAGCAACAGTCTATTGAATCTTTAGGCCATTAAGGTGTTTTTACATTGTACTACGAGACTCTTGTATATATATTTTAAACAAAGAACCTCATATATAGACGAATAAATGTTAATATGACAGAATAACAGAGACAGACGAAGGCTCGATTCCGACCGGCAAATTTTGCGATGTCGGTGGAACATCTTTTGATCTTCGCGTACCCATACGCCTGGGAGACGCGATGAGCAAAGGCGACAAGCTGTTTGACGACAATTTCTGCATCTCGCGTTTTGGAAACGAGGTAATACTTTTTAATTATAATAAGGGACACATACACTGTAAGAATATTATAAGCCGAGAAATTAATATTTAAATAAAAATAAAACTGAAAAAACTTATTTGCCTAAAAAAAGATTAAATTACCCTCAAAATTAAAACAGTTTGTATTGTGTGTGTCAAAAATGAAAAAATATAAAACGCCAAAACCATGTAAAATTATTAAAGTGTATTAATGAAAAACATGATGATGATAATAAAGAAAATATTTATGTTTTACCATAAATTTGTATACGTACGTTTGTATAGCCATTAAAATAAGAGTGACAGGCATAACTTTTTACTACACAACCTTGTTTTAGAAGTACATAGATTTTAAGTTGACTATCTATACTTTAATATATACGATTTTGACGTATTTCAGGGCTTAACCTATACCTCGCGAGTAAGTCATCCAAAATCTGGGCGATATCTGGAAGTATACACCAATCAACCTGGAGTTCAACTGTACACTGGTAATTTTCTTCCGTTTCCCACTGAGTCTGCGCTGGTCGGCAAAAACGGTATAGGGTACCGGCGACATGGTGCGTTTTGCTTGGAGACCCAAGACTTTCCTGATGCAGTGAATCATAAAAACTTCCCCAACGCCATTTTAACGCCTGGACAAATGTACGACCATAAAGTGGTCTATAAATTCGGGGCTGAGAAAAATAATAGTCCCAGCGTAATGTCTGTGTAATTTGATTGAATATGCAGAAAAAAATATGATACGACCAAAAAAATATAGTTTAAAACCTTGAAAAATATGTTATCTTTTATTACCCACTTATAAATCAAATAATATCATACAAGAATAAATGATTTAAGATTTTGATACATAATTGTGGGATAAATGTCACAACTGTGGGAAGTGTAAATAAGAGAAAAAAAAACAGTTTTTAATAAATTTTAATATAAATTCGCCGGCCACATTATAAGATTCAATTATTTACTTAAGCCTAGTTACCATAATATAATTCAAATATAATTCACTAAAACATAGGAAATTACTTTTAGTTTATGAAATATTTTCCGACTACGATGTACTTATAATTTTCGTTACCAATAGTTCTAAAACAAATTTCTAATAAAAATAATTTCATTGAGAGTTCACGTACACATATTTGGCAAAGAAAAACATCATACTCGTCGTTACTTTTATAAATCTTAATGATCAACGCCATTTTCTCCATTTTGTTGCTCCGTCTCGTTCTCCTTGGTTGGTTCGCCCCAAGTGAGATTGAGATCCCGCTTCATCTTGTCATCCAGAGGTGGAATGAGTGAACGTGGCAGAAGGAAGGTAGATAAGTTGAAGAGATCCAGGAACACCTTGTAACGGTCGCTGGAAATTGAAAAGTTCCAATCATTATCAACCTACCGTACCTACAAACCTCTTAATGTAACTAAGAATGTGGGTTCGCTGATCAATATACCTTTGAGACTGCAGTTACAGCCTAGCATTCCAGACCTAATTCTATCTAAAGTTTTAATTCAAAAGTTTATATAGCTAGTACATACCTCAACGTGGATCGTAAATACTGGTAACCAGAAGAGCCACCAGTCCCTAGTTGTTGAGAACCTATCATACGCTGAACCATTATTACATGATTATCTGAAAAGAGAGTATTGATAATTATATTTTCTTAGTAAGTACGTTGTTAACATATAAAAAATACATTTTAATCCGTTGTCTCAATAAAACTCATCTCTTTTATGGAGCAGAAGCAACACATATGCATAAACTGTGCCATGTTAAAACGATTTAAAAATGCGAATTAAATAATATTATACTGAAGAATTAAGACTTATACCAATTGAAGCAAATTAAAATAATAGCTACCAAAGAAACTGTTCTGGATAATAGTCACAATTGTATATCACTTTCATCAATCGAAGTGTTTTTTTTTTTCAAATCATTATTACTTACAACGCCACTTAGTGATGAGACTATCCATGTCCATTAGAAGAGTGAGGACCTGATGAGGCTGGGAGAAACGAGGCTCGTCGCGGTAGAACGTAATCATGATCGCTCCTTGGAGCGCTTTGTGCGATAGCCTAAATGTTATTAAGAAATCTATAATTATTATCCAATTTTATTAAAGTGTTAAATAAAAGAGTGTCAAAATGTAAAGCTTAAAACTATTACATATACTGAAATGAAATGAAATTAAGACATACCGTCTTTCCCCCCTTGACCGTAAAGCATCATGAACAGCAGGGTCAAATATGGAACGATAGATCTCGCGACGATTTTCAATATCTTGCAGCCGATGACGACGGACTTCTTCGTGAGGTTCTTGCTGCAAATAATGAAAGACAATTCAAATAAAAAAACTTCCAATTTGATAGGCAGGTTTAAAATAATCCGTATAAATATTTAATATATTCGCTTTCTTTTATTAATTCTTTTCTTGGGTCTAATTTTGAGCTAGTAAACAGTTACTTGACGTTATGGATAATCAAGTTATGTTTGCTAGACAAGAGCCTCGAATACTTTATTTGTTTTACAGTTTATTTTGCAACTTAGTGTACCATAGCTTCTTCTATATCTTCAGCTAATACTTTCCCCACCACAGCTTGAAACTTTCCCCAGAAGTTGAATCCTTCTGTGTTAAGTCCAGGTGTTCGTTCTAGCCATCGTTCGATTAGAGCGAGGAGTGCTGGTTCATCTTCAGACCTGAACACAAATATGTTACAATCATGAATATATATCATTTCTACTTACTAAACTGGAAGTTGTCTCAAGACTTTGTAAAATTGTTACATGTCAAATTTTACTAATCCCTAATAAATGACTACTTATACAGGAACAGAATAGCGAAATAATATGTATAGAAGTAGGGTATACCGCAGGGATGTATATTAGTTCCATTGTCAGTTATTTTAGCAAAAAATGCCATACATACTTTTTTAAAGCCTCCATTGCTTCAGGATCATCTCCAAAAACCGTTTGATAGTTTTGATTATATTTAACACGGAGGGCTTGCTTTAGACCCAGCTGAAAAGAAACAATTATAACCAGTTTCGCAAAAGTAAATTTATTTCAAAAACTATACGGAACGGTAAATACCACGTCGGAATTTAAAATATTTAATAATCTTGAGTTTTTTTTTTGTTTCAAGAACACGATCAGTTTTAATATACCAAGTTTTGTTTCAACGAACCTTGTTCTCAAGAAGTCTGAATTGTAAACTTTGAAAACCCGATGCAGGACGCAGATATTGCCTGAAGTCCATAAAGTCCAGAGGTGTCATAGTTTCCAATATCATCACTTGGTCTACCAGTAGCTATAAAAAATAGTAATAATTTATTATTCTGCGTTAGACATATTAAAACTACAATACAAGCGAACATTTGTATCATCGCAAAAAAAATCGTTTTTTTTGGGGCCATTAATTTTGGGGGAATCGTTACTAAATCTATTTTAAATTGTTATTGTTACTAAAGAATTCTGTGACAAATTTAAACCTATATTGGTATCATTGAATAAAGAGTATTGATTGAAAATTATTTTGTTCTGTGAATGTCAAAGTTTGTTATTGTTGTCTGAACAGACTTAAGATGTACAAGAGGCATTTAAAAAAAGCTTTTAGCTTCTGTCATACTTAAATAATAATACTATATAAATACGAACGTTCTGGAAATCTACCGTATCTTACCAACTTTGATGCAATTAAAATTAAAAAATCAATATTATTTTTACTACTCTATATACAAAGATAACAAAAGATGTAGATACGTACTCAACTGCCTTAAGAACTGTTATAGGTAGGTATCATTGCATTAGAAGTTATGTATGGTTTATATGGATTGTACTGGGTAGTACTTAACTTTGAGAACCTTTGTCCTATCAATGAGATATTTTTTACGACTGTTTTGGTTACGTCAGTAGTGGAATTTATCTAGAGACGTTTCCGATGTCACGGGTCAACTCATCAGATAACAAGGCCTATTTGTTACAAATATTGTGAACGCCTTGACTTCGTTGAAAAAGATAAGACATTTCCTAACAAAAAAGAAAAACTTATTAATGAAAACTATAAGAAGTAGACAGAATGAAAAGTTACTTTTAAATTAAACCTTTTTCAGTTCATAATACCTACTTGGTTTTGCGTTGCGAAACTTATTTATTTGATTGAATCCTCTATTATCCACAGTTGAGACAGAGCGGTTGTAATAGGGAGGCTCATAAATATATTATGTACTTATATTAATTAAAAATCGATAGTAAATTGAAATAAATTAACACCACGTAAGGCAAGACAAGGTAGATACTATTAAAATTTTACATACGTTATGTAGTTATAGCTAGTTTTCTAAGACAAAGGGATATGGGACTGATATAACAGAAAATATTTTCTAGCTTATGTAACTTGGTAAGCACGTTCACATGAGGACATAAGTATATTTTTGAAAAAATAATAACATAGCTTTCTAAAGCTGCCGAGCTACGTAATTGATTTCCTTCAAGTTAAAAATAGCTTGTCACTTTATATTTCAGTTACGAATTCACGTAGCAGGTAGTGACGTTATAATTAGCTTGAAATCGTTAATTTTTATTTCGAAAGACTCATTATGTTATAGGAAGTAAATAATGGAATACCTATAATGCCAAAAGTTGACTGAGACAAATTTATTACTCAAAATATTTCATGAAAACAATTTAAAGTTTTAACCCAAGGAAAGAAAATCTTGCAGGATTAACAACTTTGAAAAGCAAAAAATACTTAAATATCGAGGAATATGTTATTCTAGTAATAAGGACAAGGGAAGAGCAAGCTACTAAATGTTATACAAAGTACAAACGCCACAACCATTAAGATTTGATGAATGTCAGTAATAGTAAGAACACAAAACCTACTAGAACTTGGTGCTTTCCTTGTATTCCAGTAAAAAAAAATGTAGACAGAGATAGAAACAGACTGTGATACCTTAAGAATTAACACTACTCTGTTCAGCCTCTTGAGAATCTCCATTGTGTGACTCTCATCCAAACCTTCAACGTTCAGCATTGACCTGATGGAGTCCACCTCGAAGATTATTTGCTTGAACCATAGTTCGTATGCTAGAATTAGAGAGAGCTAGTAAATGTATGTCCGGAAATACTGATTTCTTTTCATCAATATAAATACAAATTCACCTAATACAATCTAATTGGTTTTGAAAATATCACTCTTGTTGAAGTCTGGGATAATTTTGAATGATTTTAACTTTTAACTTAAAATTTTAGTTCTAATTTCGTTTCAGGAGCAAACATCAATTTCGCAGTAAGATAAAGTGTGTAGTGACCTGTATTTCTTATCAGATAAAGACGAGACCCCTCCAACTGAAACAAATTTTTTTGCAGTCCCAAATTTTGCTAACGATTAAGACACGGATTGTACCTTGGTGTGTCACAATAAAAAGATGCTCGTCGTGCACCGGTTTTGAAGTTTCAGCGCTCAGCATTCGTTGAGCGTCGAGTAGTTTGTCCAACATCAGATATTCTCCATATAACATACCAGCCTCATTCCCAAGATGGCTGCCATCTTGTCCTATATCTTCTAACGCTGATCTGAAAACAGCCACGTTCGATAAATTAAAAGATATTACGACTAGCAAATAAGTTTCAATATAATATATTAATTGTTGTTATATTGACAGATTAATCATGACTTGCAGCGAACTGTCCTGCCATTTAAGACCTAGGCCTGAATTGCACTATTATTATTTAATATGTCACTGTTTATTTTAACTTTAATTGATTTTACAGATTTAAAATATTGTAACAAAAAATAAATCGCATTGTAATCAATTAATTCTTTATTAAATATTATTATTTCACTATTTGTCTTAAGATTTTAGTTAAATAATAATAAATAATATAATAAAATTACTCTATTATCTTATATAAGTCTATATAAAAGAGTAACAAAATAAAAAAATGTAAAAAAAGAATCCAAGATATTAAAAATAATTATGACAGTTAATTACTCTTATAATTAATTATATTATCTTCTTTTTTAGAGTCGTAATAATTTATAATGTCACTTAAGACTGGTTTAAACCAGTTTCAATTGTAGATCTCTTATCACTTGACCCTTGATGGACGTGAAAACAGATAAAACGAGTAGTTTCTTACGAAGTAGTTAAAAAATCTATTTAGTAAACTTTTTTTTAAATTAATTATGTTTAATAGTTATACTAAAAAAACTGTCTTTTACGAATAACCATCTAAGTATTCCGTATCCTGCGAGGCGGAAATTTTGTGAAGCTATTACTTAATCGATTTTCAGCTACCGACATTAAGACCCAAAATTACCCGGGAGATAAAAACAAAACTTCTGTGACTAATATAAGAAAGGCAACTCGAACCACTGAGGTGGTTTTATCATATTATATAATATAACATTACATATTGTCTAATAAACATTACAGGTTACACTAATTAAATTTTTTACTATTACCTGAAACAACCTACGGCTATTGGTACTAAGAGTTATAATTTAAACATATAAACATTTTATGACTGAGAATGTCGAAATACAGAATGTTGTACGATTAGCTCAAGGTAACGAAACTATCGTTAATATAATATGTTTTAATAAGTTCTGTGCCTATGAGTTATATGACAGTCACATGAACCCCACATAGGTGGACGGGACACAAACGTCGTGTCTCGTCGTGTCGTCGTGTCGCACAGTATAGGGAAACTTTTAAACTAATTACGTATAAAAAATAATGATTATGAAGAATCTTTAGAAGGAACCGCGAAAGACCGCCTAGAAAATAGTGGGATTGATGACAGACTACTAAACATTTAATCAGACAAGTAGAATAAAGCGCTGGCAACAAAGTGAAAGCAGAGAGACTTTAATTATAAAACGCGGTCCCTACCGTAATTAATTCCTAAATTATAAACTATAAGGAAACGAATAATTTAAAAATAAAATACTGTCTATAGTTTACGAGAGTAGTACACATTTAAATAAAACACTTTAACGGTTTAAAACGCGATAGATTCGTTATTAAGTAACTAATATATCGCGTTTTAAACCGTTAAAGTGTTTTATCTAAATTCAAAAATATATAAGGAAAAAAGTTATTTTTGTTTCTTATTTTATTTGGTTTTCATTTGAAAAGTCACGATCACGACAAGCTCGTTGGTGGAATTGTAGCGATGTGTTAATCAACAGGTCGTGGGTTCGACCCGATAGGTTGCGGTACTTGTCCAAAACAAAGGTAAATAAAAAACTAAGATACCTGAAACGAGTTATCTACCTGGTGATAATTTATCGACCGGTTTAGAAATCAGGGGCCAATATTACCGAGTGATATGAATTATGTGACGATATTACTCGCAAGGAATGTCAGAGCTTTCTATAATTAATTTTACTTCACTTCTTAGAATGTACGTTTATTTTTAGAATAGACTTCCCATATCTACTTAGTTAAGAAATGTCTTATAAAAATAGCCTATTCCTCACCTGCTACTTTTTTATCGACTAATATAAGATGATGATCTTGACTGTAAAAAATGAAGTCTAAAATCATCATCCACGCCCAAAAATATATCTTTCAACCATTTACATTAAATCGATATCTGATACAAAGCTTTATTAAAATATGGCTTGTATGAAAAAATATGTAACTTCTTATAAGTCAATAAAAACGTTGAGGTTAGGAATAGGCTATTTTTGACTTAAACCAAAACTTACTGCAGCGATGTTATATTTAAGTGACGAAAAACAAATCTAGAATATCAACCAAAAAACAAGACCGACCTGGGAAAAAAAATCCTTACACGACTAAAATGACTATACTGAACGGTACCTAATTGAACATTTGTAAACATGTTTTAAACTATCTATGGGATTTTAAAAATTAAAAAACTCCACTTGTACCAATTTTCGATATGCAAAATTGTATGTAGGTACTTGCCTGGTGATGTTGCCTACTCATCGAATTTTCAAATCGCGCTATACTGAACATTTCAAGGGTTGCCTTAAAAAAAGTATTCCCAGACCGTGAATGTTAAAGTAGCTTTTATACATTCTTACTCTCTATGAAAAAGATTTAGAGTACATGACATCATATGTTACGAACTGATTTGTGGTTGAGGGTATTGTGACATGAAATTGATCTGTCTGAAGTGAGGTGAAGGATTATATATCAAGATAATTAAGCATTAATTTTTTTAATAAAACCTTTTTACATATAAAAGTACATACAATCTGGATATTGCTCCCTGCACAATCTTAAAATCATAGACATCACTGTCAGGAGGAATTTTAATATTTTTAGGTAGGTAATTAAATTTAATTATGTGACGAACCGATTCAAATTAGTCTCAGTCTTACAATATATTATATCTATGAATATACTTTTTATATGTAAATATCAGATCATAAATAAATCCAGGATTTTAATAAACAGTTGCTTTTAAAAAACAGTATCTGAGATAATTAATAGAATCCTGTTTGACTTGTTCTATACGAATATTTTCGTTCGTTCGTACTCTAGTATTTACACGGTAAAATGGGAACGATGGTAACCTACACAGAAATCGATTAGTTAAGTATTTTAATATTTATTTAAAATATTATATTATATCGCCTAAGTACTATATGTATTTCGTTTTTATACTTGTACGCTAGTATACATGAGTGCTTATAATTTTTTTAAAAAAATGTATGAACGAGAGACGAAACCACGATAGATGTAGATACCGTATTAGACGTCATTAATTAAAAAAATCTTAAGTTTACTTTAATAGAAAGGGTTATACGTTTTTCTATGTTTTTATCGAGAACTTATACTTAGGAATAAGTAATGACAGTGTGCGGGCATATCTATTTGTAATTTTATTACTCTGTTAAGTCGTTATACGTTATATGGAAAGATTTATTTTGGTACTGTGAATGAAAGCAATTTGTTAACTAAAATTTACGGAAGTATTTGGATGGGATTTGGGGATGTAGACGATCTACCTACCTAAATTAGCTGTGTCGTTCCATTTAAAAGGAGATTTACAATATTTTTGAGAAAATTTGGTAGGTAGGTTAGTCTGAAGGTCATTAGTGTTTATAAAACTTCAAATAGTTGATTGCGATATGGTTGTTGGTTACCTTTTGGCACCATACAAATTTTTGTTGAAAAAAAAATTGTGTCTAAATTCTACAATAAACTTCTTTATTTTATACATATTTCTACAGGTACTACAAATTAGATTCTAAATGTTTCTTATAATGTTTATTACTTATTAAACTGCTTAAATAAAATAGTAAAATCCTGATTCAGCCTCGTGTAACACGGGGCAAGCACTGTTTTTTCTGTTATTTTTTGCGAGTATGAATAAATTAGATTCACTTAGGACTTCTAGTGCTTAGTGCCATACCTTAAAACTGAGTAACGGTGGTGTTTAAATAAGATAACAGAGAAATTAATTCATCGGCGTATCAGTTAACTATGTACATTACGAAATTGTTAATAAAGTATTACTTAAATTACGTTTTCATTCACTGTACTATTTGCAATTAACTTGTTAAATATATTTTATAAAGTGTAGAATATCGGAGCAGATGTTATTAAAATTACATGTGCTATACTATCACGTTTTGTAATAAATAAATATTTATTTCATTAAATTTAGATTATATGTAGGTATATACACATACTGAATACTCTTAAGAAAATGAATATATAGAAATAAATAATATTTAAGTTTTTAAATTAGTTACGCGTTTTTTTACTTAGAAATAAATTTGTTAAAATAGTTGCCATGAATAAAAATTTGACATAAAAAAGTATATTTACCTCATAGGACAGGCCATTTTGTTTTTCTTTTTAATTCAGCAACACAGTTCCAAATTCGAACACAAAAGCGCGACAGACACGCGCAGTTGAACCGCGTCACACGAACGCACTGATGTCGATTAAGAATTAACATTACTTTTCTTATTCTCAAATATACGGTTTCTTATTTCGCTACAGAAGTATGAGACATTTTTATTAAAATTGCATCATAAGACATCATATTATGAGCTTATAACAATAATTACGAGTAATGAGTAATTTGAAACGATTTACCAGCACAGGATAAGGTGGCCTATTTTTATTACAAAAAATACCTTGATTTCTATCGTTCTATCCTCCTTCTTTGCTTATTGTAAAAATATCTAATTTAATGGCTAAGTTTCGGTCTACGTATCGATTACAGCTACCTATATAATCAGACATAGGTCAGTACGTAACCTGCGCCCTACCCACCAACTTGCAACACAAAATATGATTACAAGACGGACATTAGATCATATGTAACTAGTATGGTTTCTGAAATTTATCAAGTTAATTTCTTCTATTTGAGTTCAATAAATATTATAAATAAATAAAATATGTAGTCACAGAGAACACGCTCTTAAGTACGACTATAAGTAATATTTTTAAAGAAAAGGGCATGTTCTAAAATATTCGCCAATCTAATGGATACCCAGTCTTTAATATTAAAAATGAAAATATTATTCTCAACTTATGTCAATTCAAAATTAATCATTTTTTGAACCAAAGCAAATCTCATTCTATGTAGCTATTACTGAACTATGTATGTATATATACTCGTTGAACAGGTAATAGCGTAAAATATACGGAATTCCGCTAGCTCAACTATTATTTAAATTGCTGAAGCGTAAAAGGTGATGGTTGTTACATCATTCACAAGCCACCGAGATATTAGTACATGTTTAGTGATTATAATTATTTTAGTGGGTACTGGCAAGTATGGAAATACTAAATTTCCCTACCACTCTACATAAAGTTGAAACCGACCCTAACTCGGGCTGTATGTAATTATAAAATATAATTTTCATTAACATAGTGTTGGATAAAACTATTATAGTTTCTCGTGGAAGCTTCGGCTCGTGGGAGGGAGGGTGGAGCAGGGATATTTATATATATTTATTTATTTAAGAAAACACACCCACTTAAACTTTCACATAATATATATATTTGCACTGTTAATATAATTTTGTATGATAAACGTACAAAAACCCCGACGCGTTTAGTCCGGCGTGTCGAGAAGAGAAGTCCTTGTTTTTTTATAGAATAGAACATTTTAAAAACCTAATTCATGTGTTGCCAGCCAATATCAATATATATAACCTCTAACACATAGTCTTTTCTTTCACCTAACAAGAGGTAATTATATCCAACTACTCTACTAAAACAAGTAGGAAATGATATGAAGTCATCATTATCAATGGCTGTAATATTAAGTAGCCTTATTTAAAATGCTTATTAAAAATTGTCATATTATTATTTTTTTCTGAATGTAATTTTGAGTGACGTTTTAAGTCACTGTTCTGTAAATTTTGTTGTGTGTTATTTTTCGTATTAATAATATGACTTAGTGTATAAAAGACAACCTGTGTTAAGTATTAAAGAAATTAATTGTGTTTCAAGGATAATTAGAAATTGTATTCAATAATAATGTATCCCGCATCAAAAATTTTAAGGCAGGTACAGACTTAATAGTAATACATTTTTTTGTTTCTCTCTTCCTCAAACATATTTATATTTAAAAGAAAAAGTGGGCAATAATGATTAAGAGGGTAATAAAATAATGAAGTTGTAAAAACATTAAAATATGTACTTTACACATTTGTTTGCGATTGGCCAAAATAGCCAAAATAGAGTTGCTCACCGTTTCCATAACATTCTTTAGCGGCCGGTATCACAAGCGAACTAAAGGTAGGGGGGTTGGACGTCACAAATCATTGTACTTAGCTATCAGTTGCCGGCAAAATATAGAAACATTACATAACTCTTTTTAAATACTTAATGAAAAATCTCGTTAACATGCTCATTTTTGCAGTTGGAACGTATGTTATTAAACTTATTTATTCATTCTAACCTCACAACTATTTTTAACAATATTATAAATTATGTTAGCTTTAAAAAAATATTTTCGTGTCTATAAATATTTTATTTATTGCATGTATTTAATACATCAAAGTGAATCAAACTCTTTATGATTTGTTACTAGTTGCGTAAAATTTTGTCAGGTACAGAACATATACAATTTTGGCCATTGTTCTTTTGACGTTGACAATATTTAGTCTGTAGTTGGAATGTCTACCTTTTATGCTAAACGTCAAAGTCAGTTTACCAATCATTACTGTTTTTGGAGCAGTTGTGTGTTGTGAAATTACGTACTTAATAGATATTCTAAATAACATATTTTGTTTACATCGCTGCATCAACGAATATTTGGCATCAAAATATTTTTTTTACCTAAATAACCCCAATACAGGATCAATTATTGTAAGTAAAATAATATCAAAATAAGTGATAAGAGTTATCGTGCTCCTTTCGTGATTACGGTCTTTAGCGGCGATTGTGATTTTAATAAGAGAAAATAATAATTATTGTTGTTGCAAGGAGTTTGTTAATCGCAGTCATTATTATTATCGCTCTAGCTGTCTTTAAAGCAATATGACATCATCTTGATTCTTGAGTGACTATACTTCTATCTTTATCCATCGGATGTAGTAAAGTTACGATATTGTAAAGGAAATACTAAAGCAAAATTACCTAGGTGCACTGCATAATGGTAGTTATAAGGAGAGTGAATACAATAATGCAGTAATTACTTACCAGCAATTTTTAATGGAAAAATTTCTTATATCAGCTACAGTGACGTAAAAATTTTGTTTTCCTGATCCATTTACATTAGGAAATCTACAGAATGAAACCATATTCGATTAAACTTTACGGATTTTTTAATGTACTGTGTTTTGTTTTGTAACTGGACCAGTATTCTCTTCTTTCTTAATATATAACTCATTTAATATCCAGGTTGTGAGAAAAAGTCTAACATGTTACAGACAATATTGTATATTGTTTAGTAACAAGTTTGTCTCACAATGTTATAATAATGAATTGCTACCATTAGACAAACTGTCAATAAAATAATATTTCTAAACGAGTTACTTATATCCCTACATAAAAACTCTGCATTTAAAAGAAGTAAAAGTAAATTAGATACATTCATATTCCTGTCAAAATATTCAAATGTAATAGTTGAAGTTAATAATAATTTATTTGTCAGACCATAAATGAAATTGATGTTAATATCTAAACCCTTTTAGAGCATGTGAAATCAACTAATTAAGTTGTTCACTAAATATGTTATCTAATTAGTTTGTTTTGTTTGTAAGTAGATTGTCCCTTATGTTAATATTACATACAATAAATTGAGATTTACTGTAGTTCTTTGTAATGTAAACATTTTGAATTTATTCTATAATCAGTATTATTTCATTAATTATACTTAAAGTAACAACATAATTTGTTTTGTGTGTCTTTTTATATGTGCTTTGGGGCCGTTCAAGTATTACGTAAGCAGATTTATTACAATTATTTACCCCCCCATCCCCCTTGTCAGCAAAAGTAAGCAAAGCTTTTACCCCCTCCCCCCGTGCTTACGTAAACATTTTTCAATTAAAAATGTAATGGTTGCCATTCGTGTAAAAAAGTAAATAAATATCGATGACGTAATCATCATCTGGACTCCCCTACCCCCCATGTCATCAAAAATAAGCAAAACACAGACCCCCCCCCCCCCCTATAGTGCTTACGTAATACTTGAACGATCCCTTTATACTTTGTTACAATAAAAAGTCTTCAATATATAAGTATAAAAATCTCTTTTGCAAGAGTATTATTTTGAGCGAAATGTAATGATGTTTCTTTGTCTTCAGAGTTATGGGTCAAACCCTATCTGAACCAGTGACAGATAAACAATCATCAACATGCCAGGACTCGCGATACCTTGTTGGTTCCTCTTGTATGCAAGGATGGAGGGTCTCAATGGATGATTCACATACTCACATTTTGTCACTACCCGATGACCCTGGAACAGCTTTCTTTGCTGTATATGATGGTCATGGAGGTACGTTTAGTTGCATACCAAAGCAGTAGTAGAGCTGCTAGAATAATCGTCTTAGTGAAACATATTTAGGATTTAATAATTCTTTTATTAAAATGGACTGTCCAACACAAAGGACTTTAGAGCTGTATAGTAAGAAAGAAATTTATTATTTTTATGTACAAATTGGTGGCATAACGATCGCAAGGCCTTAACACCTCATAAAACTTTAAAATGAAGCATTTATTACATTGCAAAAATTGTTCTTTATATAAAGTCATTAAAATGTGATATCTCAATTGCTGCAGATAATAGAAAAATGTTCATTGTTAAATATGTGTACACGTTTTCCAGGGTCAAATATAGCAGAATATGCTGGTAAACATCTTCACAAATTCATAACAGCTCGACCGGAGTATCATTTGGGGAACATTGAAGAGGCCATGAAACAAGTAAGTACAATAATATTTTAATTAGATCTGATATGGAAAAAATTAGATTTTAACAGAATATTGTTGTTGTAAAGATTAGCCCATTCATGTACAGTTTATTTATTAATTATAAGTATAGTACTCTTAATATCTGATAAATCAAAGAGACAGACTTGAATTTCATAGTAGTTTTGTTGTAAATTTTTCGTACTATAATTTATTCACGTATATAATTTAAATATTGCATGATAATAAAAATGACTCATTTTCACCCGATGCAGTAATTAACATATAGTTAGCGGCGTATGCTAATTTTGTTTAAAATTGTTAGTCATAGTATTCAGTCAAGGTCAAAATATGCAAGGACTTGTTACTTCCTCAAGGACAGCGTTATAGAATTAAAGTTAAAGCATCTATGCAAGTGTTTCTCCTCGACTTTTAATGCGAGTCTTGTTAAAGTTCCTAAGATTTTATTTTTTTTAATTTCAATTTTGTTAGTCATCAGTTATCATCTGTTTCATTTTACAAAGAAAATACTGTAATTATGTCATGTTTTTTAAAATACTAGTAATCTTTTTATAATAGAGAAGAACAGACAAGCATGCTGTTGGAATTAAATGTCTAGATGGAGAATAAAATCTCAATACGATGCGCTGTCGCCCTATTTTGGTTTCGGTTATTCGTAAAACCAAAGGCTTAAAACAAAAACCCTTGGTTACAATTGTCTTTAAAATATTACGTTTAGTAATTATTCTACTGATTTAGGGATTCCTAGACCTGGACCAAGCGATGCTAGATGAGGGCGGGCAAGAGAAGGTTGCTGGTAGCACAGCGGTTGTGGTCCTCATCAAGGAAAACACTTTATACTGCGCCAATGTTGGAGACTCTAGGGCCGTTGCGAGTGTAAGGGGTGCGGTAAGTTTTCATCATCCAAGTTCCCTTGTATGGTTTGTTAATTTAATCAAATAGAGTTAGATATCATCAAAATATTTGTACTTTAAATTTTGTTTAAACTATTGTATTTGGTACTTATCTGTATTACAAGTGACTCGAGGGTTTTAAAAAGCAATAAAAAATATATCTTAAATGTCTATCTTAAGTGTGTATGCTTGTGAGAAATAAAAATATATCATAATTATACAACTTCAAAGAATCAATCTGAATAGATTCTAAGTCTAAAGAAACATACTCCAATTTTAAACTTATATAAACAGGTTAGTCATTTTTTTAATTATCATTTCTTTAGGTGGAATCCCTTTCATACGATCACAAACCAACAAACAAAGAGGAACTAGAGAGAATAACAGCAGGCGGAGGATGGGTTCAACTAAACAGGGTTAATGGAAACCTGGCGTTGTCCAGAGCGTTGGGAGACTACATCTTTAAGAAGAACTATAGGATGTCGCCCAGGGAACAGATTGTAACTGGTAAGAGATGACACATATACATAAATTGGGTAATTAAAGTATTATGTACGCTAATATTATGATGCAAAACTTATTGCAACTTCTTTATTTGAACATGTTAATCTCATTAAGTACAAAGAAAGACTATCATAAAATTAGTATACATAGTTCCCATTCTTTGCATCCTCCTTCCATCTTATCCTATAATGTATATGTGGGATACAAGAAAAAGTCGCGGAAAACAAACTAACACTAAAAAACTTTTTCATGTCTTTTGTCGTGTGCGTTGCGAGTATTATACTGCAACTTTGACCTATAAAAATTCTGCTCCCAGAACATTTCTTGATTCTTATTAGTTTGATAACGCTTAAATGTTTCTTAACAGCATATCCAGATGTTCAAGTTCGGCATCTTAACGAAGATTGGGAGTTTATAGTGATTGCTTGCGATGGAATTTGGGAGGTGCTTTCTAATGAGGTATACTCAAAACTACATATATATTTTTAATATACGTAATGTGACAGTATTCTTCACAAAGCAAAAGCGGTCAATCGGCAAGAAATTATTGAAATTCAAAAAATAATGACCGCTTTTGTTAGTTGAAAATCTGCCATGTGTTACGATAAGGCTTGTAGTTTTATAACTGTATATACTATTTATAAATCCACGAATGAACAAGTTAAACAGTAAAGCTAAAGCGGCCTATATTATTGACATTTCTTAAACTTCAGGAGGTGATATCATTCTGTCGGATACGACTGCTGAGTGGCTGGGAGCCGGCTGCCGTGTGTGAAGCACTAATGCAGCGCTGCCTGGCTCCAAACTGTCTGACAGGTGGCCTCGGGTGCGATAATATGACAGTGCTTATCATCTGTTTAACACCGTTCCCCTCGCGGGAAATGCTGGTAAGTTACTTGTTTTAGCATAAACAATTGGAAAATAAAAAAATATATTATCATTTTATTTGGAATCATGGTTCGTAGTAGTAGTAGCGGCCAAATAAACAAAATTTAAATTTAAAAATCTTATACTGTTTTTCTATTGTACTAGATTTAATATGTGTCATTGTGTATGCAGGTCACTGTAAATGTCAATTTACGGCTCAACTATCTATATTATGAAAAAAACCTTCCCCTTTTTTTTTCTTAAGAAGAGATGTATCACTTTTATATATCTGAGTTACATACAATTTTAAAAAGAAAAGTAGGTAGACAAAGATTCTGCAAGACTTTCTAACTCTACCTTATTTTCTGCAGTCTTCGTACAAGTATCTCGACACTCAACGACCAAACAAATACTGGACATTGGGTTCCAGACGGTATTAAACACTAAGAAGTCGTGCAATAATAGTCCCTTTGTGATATTAACTTTTAATTTGATTTGATGTTAAGAATTATCTATTTCAAAAATGTTGCTCTCTGACGTTTGTTGTTTTTTTACTTAAACTAGATTGCAAATCTATTGCACATAAAATAAATGTTTTTTCAAAATTATATCCTGCTGTGTATTTATAACAGTTAATGTTGAGGTTTTTTATACAAATCTTCTGTCCATTTCTCTAATAAAACATTTAAAAGCAGAATTGTTTTTAATTGTAGTTAGAATATAATCAATAGCACACACGTAACAAGTGTAAGACATAAGATATTGTTTATTTCTTACTATTTTAATGTCATTCTATTGTATTTTACCAATTAATTAAACGACATGATGATCAAAAGTATAAATTAATTTATTTGCTTCAAATGTATCATTTACAAAATATGTTATAAACGAATGTGATATTTTATTTCAGGAAGCAATACCAGCGGATCAGATGTTGAACGACAAATTTATGACCAAAATCCAAGATCTCTTATACGTGGAAGACGAAGACGAAGATTTAAAGTAAATATCGTTGGTTTAGTAATGTAATTATTGTAATATTGATTTTCTTTCTACTATCTAGGGTCTGAGAAACACATGTTTTTCATAAGGAAAATGTTAGACTGGATATTCAACTAGCAAGCTACATATTGAGGTTTCGTAAAAATGTCTCTTATTATAGAATCCAGAGGGACAATAAGGTATTTTTATTATAGACGGACCAAATGGACCATATAAGTGTATACCTTGTCACACACACATACACACACATTGACTTTTATTTTTTATTATTTGATACTTATACTGAGGGTACCCTACATCTGTGTCACACTTAAATCTTTTATCAGAAAGGACAACAAACCACGTTTTTATATAAAACAAGCTCAAGTGCTAGTCCAAAATAAAATTCAATCGCATAGTTCTTTTATTTAGTTAGAAATCGTTAGTTTTTCTTATTAGGAACATCGCATCTTATTGGGCAATATTAAAGCATAATTAACGCCTACCTCCAAAAAGACTTGTTGCTTTTTTTTTACAACACGTACCAATCTACCTGTCTGGCTGTCCTGTCTAGCATAGGCTTGATGGATGTATAATATCATTATTTTACATATCAATTATAAACATACTTGTAAAAATTTCATATAATACTTTATCATGCTATCGAATTAGCTAAATTATATTGACAAGTGCATGCCACTTTAGATATGAATAAAACTTATATTTAGTTTGAGTTTCTTTCATATATAATATCTGCATTGAAAAGCAAAATAAAATTCTAATTAGTAAATTTGATTACATAAATTTTTTGTACATATTTGTTTTTTTCTGAACATGACCTTAGGTTATTTCTGTGCCTAGATAAAACATGCCAGAATTTTCCCCATAAAGATGCAAGCAGATTGGTACTGTTCTAGTAATTTGAGGGCATAATGGTGTAAAATATTTTTGCATTTAACAGTGCCAAATCGGAATTCAGTTTTTACAAATGTATACTGTAGTTTTTATAACCAGAGTACCATTATGAAAAAGGATCCAGAAAATGTGCTTCGACACAAAATGTATACTTATAAATCATTTAAACAGAAGATTTTAAATTGTCTAGTCAATAATATGTTATTTTAAAACTGCGATTTGACATCATGAATGTTTCTGGGATTCGTTACTTGTTTTTTCTATATGGAATATTTAAATGTGTATAAAAGATTGCGTCTGAACTAAAAATTTAACCTATACCTAGTAGATAGAATACACTCTAAAATTATAATGATATGTAGAGTATATAACGTTAGTATTTAGTATAGAAGATGGCTTTAACGAATTGAAACGCGTTATTTTGCTTAGTATCTTTTAATTTTCAAGATAATATAATTCGATACATCCACATAAGTCGATCTAGTCATTTGTAATCGCTATAATAATTATATTTATTCAGAAAGCATATATATAGTAAAATTTTATATAACATAAGGCTGAAGGATATACCTTATGTAACGAGTTTTAATCCGTTAATTCTATAGTAGGTTTTACTTTTAAATATTCAATAATTTTTAATTTATATCGATATCGATTTTTGGAACTAAACCAAACTAACATACAGAACTATCAATAATATATTTAAATTTATTATAGGAAAATAAATCCCAACAAAAGTTGGAAGGAATTTGAGTAATCCAATAGTTACTTACAATAAAAAAAAAAATTAATCATTTGTTCATCAATTTCTTAAATATTCAAAAATAGTCGGCCCGTTAGCCAGTTACAAGCTTATATAATATGAGAATAAACCTTGCATTTTGGTAATGTGATTACTGTGTTAATGTTAGACGAAATATGTAACTGAATTACGCTAATTAAATTGTCAGACGTGTATATTGGTTTCATACATGTTATGAAAAGATGTATTAATTTTTTTTTATGATAAACGACTGTTGTTAAGTTTCATATTTTTTTAATCGGTGTTAGGCTATAGATTTGAATTTAGTCGCTTGAATCGAACAAAATAAGTTGTTATACATATCTAACTTATTAATAAGCAATGTAAATTAAATTAAATGTTGTAATATTATGAGAAATAAAGTTGTAATTTTTTAAATATCTTTTATATACCCCTTTACAATTTCATACCGGCTCTGTAGCAAAATTGTTAAACATGTTGCCTAGCATTGCATAAACCGCGAGAGGCTCTAGGTACGAATCCCAACACACAAGGCCTCAATTATCAACATGCCTGTAAATAAAGCGGATTCGTAAAACGTACATTTAAATCTGTTTCCCTATAGCTATAATGAACTTTTAGGTAGCTAAAGCCAAAACAAGTCAAGTTCTTGTCAATGCATTTTTTAAGTGTTTAAAAACATTTTCTCGTAAAAGCAACAAATCTATGATAACAATATATAAATACGGTTTGCACACTACTATTAAATTGTTCAATGAGAACTACAATGTTGGATAATAAATTTTTAATACTGATCCCGATTTCAATGCTTGTGACTTACTTAAGCGGATTTTCAATGTTCTCGCGTCGGATAATTCCAAAGGCTTTATTATTGCTACATTAAAGCTATTCGGATTATAGACATTATTATATATGTAAGTTTAAGCAATAGGTCTGCCTGCTTATAAATTTTCTTTAAACAATAACTTAGTGTACATTCAATATTAAATTAAATGTTTAATTTGTCGGGAAATTAATGGAGGCATGTGAAAATTAGATATGTGTTCCACAATGATAACAATGGGGTAATTTGTTTAACTACTTGTCTGTAAATAAAGTTGAGAGGGGACGAGACCTAAAAATTCGCCTTCAACATGCCCCGTATAGGGCATATATGTCGTTGTTGTCACATAATTAACCCCCATTGAAATAAAGCAATGTTAATGCAATCCTGCGTATATTGTCACGTGCGAATCAAATTGACGGATTACGACTTTGAATCATGCACGAGACGATATCGTACAAGTTCACTAAATCTCATGTTTCTATAAATTTATAAATAAAAAGTTTATGTTAAACTAGAAATAGATTTGAAGGGCTTGTTGATAGCATTTTAAGGCTCAAACATGCTTCTAGTTTTTCAATTTATATTTTTTTCGACATGTTGGACTTCGTCTGGAAATCTGGATATAAAATTCGGTTTCAGTCTGTGGATTTCCAAATATCAAAAGCCGAAATAGGTTGACAGGGTATCTTGTTCAGATGCAATAGGCTGTTGTGCATCACCCACGTCAAGTGTTTGTTTGTTTGTCCTCCTCTCTCATAAAAAAATGATAAATTCTTGCCTTCTTAAGGATCTGTAACTACTTGTTACAGATTACGGTTTATTGATACGACAACTTCCTACTTTTTAACTCATGACAATGACAAATAGCTAATAATTACTAAAGCGTTCAGTGTAGAAATTCAAAGAATAGTCGGAGGGGATTTTTTTTTATCTTTACATCAGAGGGAGATAGACAATCTTGGGGTTGACTTGATATAAGGTGAAAATATCTTAGTCCTATAAGATGCAGGTTACTAGGTACGTAAGATGAGCTTTTGACCTGGCTTTTGGGTTTTAACATTCGGGAATTGACAGGTTGAAATGCGAATTAACACTTCTTGGCTTTTCCACTTGTTGGTGATGGATAGCGATGCGAACGGACTTACCAACATTTCTCAAAATCAAATTATGATATTGGTTATTACCTAAACGTCGCTTTTACCGAAAGAACTTCTACTCTCTTACCTAGTCTCGGAAAAATGTAACCATAATTTTAAAAGGTTTAATTATATATATTTTTTAATTCTATTGTTGCCCAAGTAGATATTTGTATTAATTCTACTTGGTAACTTTTAGTGAACTAATATTGTTGAGGTATTTTTTTTCGTTTTAGGCTGTCTACAAACTTGCAGTAATGTATTTATTTAAATCTCTAATAGTAGGTAAGCCGATTGTCATATGTTCGTGTGAAGACCGTGGAAGACAAATTTTATTAACGTAGGTCGTCATATCCTTTGATAGCATTAAGAATAAAACACGTTTTCACGAATCAAACATACTTCCCTAATCGGATTATTGTGTTTATATAAGGGAGCGCGGCGGTAGTTCGCTTGGAGTTGCCTTGCGTCAGCCTCGACGATCGCGCTGTGAGTAATATTTTGTTTGTTTGTGGTTTTAAACTAAATAAAGTGATCGTTTTTTATGCGGTTCAATTTTGGTCTAGCTACGTTCATCAAGATTAACATATTTTTAAAGGAATTCCTTTCAGCATGAAAAGTAGTTCATTGAAATATATACCTAAGGCTGTTTTAAATTAAAACATTCTTTAAAATATAAGTAAGCGATCTAGGAGCACCAGTGTCATAACAAACAATTAATATAATGTAACTAGGTCCAGTTAGTTATGGGGCCCGGGCCAAAATACATAATAGTTAAATCAAAACAAACATAGCTAAGTACATAGTCAAATTTTACGGAATTTTGGGAAATTGCTGTAGTTCAATAGTGCTCATAGAAGTTAAAAATTGTATATATTAAATATCGATTTTGGGTGTAAATACATACATACCAATATCGTTAAACCAATTAACATGAGTGTAGGCTGCAATGACCGAGCAATTACCAACACTTCTATGGTATCACCACATCCGCGTCACGTGGTCTTAATCCATAAAATAATGAGGCTTTTATTGTTTACGAAGAGCAACTAAGTATTAATTCTCTTGCTATAATTAAATAAAATTGTATCTCTCTCAAGTAATAACAGTATATATAGCACAAGATAATATCAAAGAATTAAAGATGTTATAAATAATAACATTTTGTAAAGAATTCGGAAGATTTGATAACTCTATGACCTCAGTAAATATTTTGGTGAAATGGTTAGCAGCTAATGTGGACTGATCATAAGAACTTCTTTCGGTGTCCCCAATAGAAAATAATAATCTTGACTAATACTATCGTACCGTGTGGCGGACACAGAAATGTGTCCCCGAGCCTCGGAGTTGACTAAGATCTTTATTGTTGTTATATACGTATTCGTATCATGGTATTGTAATTAAGAGATAAATAGAAACATAAGATGACACTGGACTTAAAATAATGTTCTAGAGCTTGTCCGTTGGGACGTATGCTGCTCCATCCAGACCAACTTCATAGAGTGACATCATGGGGGATAAAAAGGACTTGGAGAATGTAAGTTATAAAATGTTATAAATTGTAAACAAAGTTTTATATGCATTCGCAAAAATGTCGATGAGACAATTGAATCGACCTTAGCCATGAGGCACATGGGCATATCGTATAATATCTGGAACCCCCTGTTGTGATTTAAAACTCTGTGTGGGATAAAAACGATTTTATTTAATGTACCACTCGCATAAACTACTGATTTAATATTTGAAATCAACATTTCAGGGCGATGCGTTGGCGGAGAAGATTCGGCGACCTATCAAGTTGCCGGTTCTACCAAAAACGCTCAACATAGAAGAGAAGAAATACCTTATGGCTGTAGAGAGGGGAGATTTGGCTAACGTGAGGAGGTAAGTACATTTAAGAGTGTTAGTTATATCAATACTTTATAAGCTCCCATAAAACTTACATATTCAACAGAATATTGAAGACTTGTTAAAGTATTTTCAGACAGTCCTTGGCCCCACCATACGATTCTATAAGTTTTCAGTTTAGGCAATTGACAATAGTTTTGTTAATTCAATTTTACTGTACTTCTGTTCACTATAATTTTTTGGCTATATGCTCCATATATCTAGCTTGTTAATAAAAAATATATTTCTTAGAATGATCCAAAAAGCACACCGCAAGCAACATATAGATGTTAACTGCGTGGATGCGTTAGGCCGTGGGGCTTTGACCCTTGCTATTGATGGTGATAATCTGGAGATGGTTGAACTCTTAGTAGTAATGGGTGTTCAGACCAAGGATGCTCTTCTTCAAGCCATCAACGCAGAGTTTGTGGAGGCTGTGGAGTTACTGTTGGAACATGAAGAACTAATACATAAGCATCCCGCTCCGTATGTAAGTTTATTTTCCTACCAAATCCAGGATCTAAGAATATTGTTTTATATTTATCGTAATGACGACAGGCGAGTCGTTATGAATGACTAATTTTGATAATGTTTTCTTATAAAGTTAAAAGATTCTTTACAATAAAAAAAGCTTCTTATAATTGAACTGCCTGATGTCTATAACATTTCCTTCCAGAGTTGGCAGAAAGTAGATCCAACTACAGCCTTATTCACACGAGACCTCACTCCGCTTGTTCTGGCAGCCCATAAAAATAACTATGAAATCATCAAAATACTACTCGACAGAGGTGCTACATTGCCAGATCCTCATGACATAAGGTAAACCCAAATGGTGAACAGGAATGAATTAGCAACACACCATAAACAAATCTTCGTCGATCGTTCGTGTTTTTGAATTTTTTAATATATGAAAATTTTCTCTATAAAAAAATGTTTAATACATTTTTATTTAACCAAACCCACAAGTTTTTACGACTTTTCTGAGTACATTTTTCTTAATGTTAATAAAACTAAAGGCGTTAAGTTTCCATCTCTTGTTATTTGAGATTACACTTCCTTTCCAGGTGCGGGTGTGACGAATGCATCACAGAGTCTACTGAGGACCCGCTTCGTCACTCTCTCGCTCGTCTCAACGCGTACAAAGCACTAGCATCTCCATCGCTTATCGCTCTATCTTCCACTGACCCCATAGTTACTGCGTTTGAATTGTCCTGGGAATTACGCAATTTAGCGTTTTCTGAACAGGTAGGTGGAGGAAAAATTATGTTCTTTACAAAGTTACGCGTACCGTGTTACACTTCAATAAACGTTAGGGCCTCAGATCCGAGCAGCAATATATTGTTGCGCATAGTCAAAGTCAAAAATCATTTATTCATGTAGGTAACTATGTACACTTATGAACGTCACAAAATTAATGAATCATATAATAACTTTACATTTACTAACAGTTCTCAAATCAAGGGCGTAGAACGAATGAGAAGAACTGGCAATAAACTCCCCGTCACTCCTTTTATCGCCAAGTTTCATTTTACATTATTTATGTATTTTTAGTCCACTTCATATTTTTCCTTGTAAGAGCGTGTCCCTCCACACCCCAAGCATTTTTATCATTTAAATATTGATTAACGTCAAAATAACCCTTTTTAAGCAGGCATAGGCAATGTATGTTAAGCCCACGAAAATATTTTGTGTTAGTACATATAAATATTTGTTGACTCACATTTATGTTTCCTAAAAATAGCATTGGCTTTCCAAGAAGAGAAGGTAGGTTTAAAGAAACTTTAATTGTATTTACGTAATAGTACACAAACATATCTATTCTCCCAGGAATGCAAAGCGGAGTACTTAGAACTACGTCAACAAGTGCAAAGGTTTGCTGTGGATCTTCTAGACCAATCTAGAAGTTCGCAAGAGCTGGCCATTATACTAAACCATGACCCTGAAGAACCTTTTCAGGAGGGAGAGCATATGAAGTTGGCTAGATTAGAACTGGCTGTTGATTTTAAACAGAAGAAAGTAAGTTGCTCAAACTTTTATCTATCTTTCTAGATAGAGAGAGAAGAGAGAAATAAATTTATATATGACTACCAGAAGCCACACAAAAAAAAAAAAAACATATAGGTCTCTTTACTAAATATAAAAATAAAACATAATTTAATCTTAACAGTATAACAGATAACTTAGTCTTGTTGAATAATGCTGTGTGCTGCTAGTTGGTAGGATAGGATAGGATCTTACTCAGCTTATTCCAGGCCCTTCATTGATTTGAAACTGATTTTCAGTAAGTCTTCGTTGATCTAATAGTAGTAATCTTATTACCTATAAACATTAGGTCCTGTGTTTTAAATTAATCGCGTTTCGGTTACATGTGCCTGATACGGTGCATTTCCAAATGTCCAAAGTTAAAATAGGGCGACAGTGCATTTTGTTTAGATTTTACAGTTAGACATATGTCTGCGGTATTTCATCTTTTATCTAAAGGACACAATACTTGTCTCTTATATCATAAAAAAATCTTCTTCATGTATAGCAAACTTTTTTTTTAATTATTTACAGTTCGTGGCGCATCCAAAAATCCAGCAACTTCTTGCCTCCTTATGGTACGAAGGTGTCCCAGGGTTCCGTCGGAAGTCTAACATTCAGAAAATGATGATAATCATCCGAGTAGCACTACTGTTCCCTTACTACTGTCTGCTGTACATGATCGCACCGAACTGCGATACTGGCAAATTGATGAGAAAGCCGTTCATGAAGTTCTTAATACATGCTTCGAGTTATTTGTTCTTTTTATGTGAGTATTCTTAACAGATTAAGCTTAAGTATTGTATTTTATTTACCAAGTTGTACACGTTTAATTAAAACACTTTCAACGGTTTAAAACGCGAAGTATATTAGAAACCTTTGTCACGGGTGGACTCCGCATACGAAGGATCGTCGTTTAAAAATATAAAAAAAATAAGTTAATTAATGTATTTCGTGTTTTAAACTGTTAAAAATATTTTATTTAGATTAAACTTAAAATAAATATTGTGATCAAAATAAATTTCTATTAAGTGCCTATACAAAATGGCTGTGAGCGCTTTATATTTCGTTTCTTTATTTAGACGTATTTTTTCCTTTCAATTATTTTTAGTTGCATAAACGATTGTTCAACATTCCTGCAAATATAATAATAAAATATTCGATATTTCTGAAGTGCAACATAAAATACGAATGTGATACCAGCAACATTGACTAAAATATTTAATTAATGAATTAAGTTATTCCTATCCTATTTTCCGGCAGTAATTTTAATCCTGGTATCTCAAAGAGCCGAGGTTCAAGCGGTCCAATTATTTGGTCCGGAATGGATGGTAAGACAGGTTGAAGAAGAGTTAAAAAGACAAAGAGGGAATGGTCCAACTGTACTGGAAATACTTGTACTGGTTACCCCCGGGGGGAAAAAGGGGGGGAAAAAACCCCCAAAAACAAAAAAAAACCCAAAATAAAGGTTTTTTAAAAAGGTTTTCCAATCTGGCCTTTATTCGTTTGTTTAACGTTTGAAAATTTAATATAAAAAAAAAAAAAAAAAAAAAAAAAAAAAAAAAAAAAAAAAAAAAAAAAAAAAAAAAGGGGGGCCCCCCCCCCCCGGGCCCCCCGGCGCCGAAAAAAACCCAAACCGGGGGGGGGAAAAAAAAAAAAAAAAAAAAAAAAAAAAAAAAAAAAAACGGGTTTAAAACCCTTAAAGAGTTTTATTTAAATGACTAGTATATGTTATAGGTAAGTCTTTTAACTTTAATATCAATGAAGTATAAAAGCTTGAAAAAAAAAAACCGCGGCGGCGGGGGAAAAAAAGCCCCCAGAAATACTAAGTAGATTTTTAATAATTTTTGTACGATCATTTTTTGTATAAGACATGTTTTAATTTGTCTTACTCGAATTAAAAACGTAAACGAATAATAAAAATAAAATAGAACGTTAGCGAATAAGATTTTTATTGTATAAATCTTGCGTGTGTAGTATTAAATCTTAATTATACAATAATATATATTTTTTAGGTTTCATTTGGGAAGAAACCCAGGAAATGTTTACGGAAGGCTTTCGCTCGTATCTCCGTAATATGTGGAACTTCATAGACTTTACTCGGAACAGCCTCTACGTCGCTGTTGTGTTGCTGCGCTTCGTTGCTTACTTGCAGCAAACAGCGGAAATCAAAAAAGATTCTAGTACGAGGTTCATTCCAAGGGAGCAGTGGGACGATTTTGATCCGCAATTAATTGCTGAAGGTTTGTTTGCGGCGGCTAATGTTTTCAGGTAATGGTAACGAGATAATTGCTGTTTTGCTGTTGCAGTGCAGCAGTATTGTAAATTTATTTTATTAATTGTTTCAGTGCTTTAAAATTGGTGCACCTCTTCTCCATCAACCCACATTTGGGCCCATTGCAAATTTCACTCGGGAGAATGGTCATAGACATCGTTAAATTCTTCTTTATTTATAGTCTGGTGCTCTTCGCGTTTGCTTGTGGTAAGTGTTTTGTATAAAGGCACAGATTAGTTCAATTATAACTAAAAAAAATTAAGTACCTGAAATTTAGTCTGTTTTGGAAAGCACTATATACGTATAGAAGTTATATTAATAAGTATATTTGTATGACAGACAACAAAATAACTATCTGTAATTTGGCAGACTATAAATTTATGACATGTTTAGTTTAGTAATGCCCCGTACTTCGTTGCCTAAGTTTTTTTTTAATATGGCAAATAGCTCGACCAGTTGATACCTTCTTTCGAGGCGAGAAATCGGTGCATCACTAGTAAAGATTTTAATAACAGGTCTGAACCAACTTCTTTGGTATTTCGCTGATTTGGAGAAACAAAAATGTTACGCTTTACCCGGGGGCCTCCCTGATTGGGATCATGCTGGGGATTCTTGTACAAAATGGCGGAGTTTTGGCAAGTGAGTCTGGCGATGCGTGGGCTAAATAAAGCTAACTGATTTTTACATTTACTGTTGTATAGCTAGTACAGTGCGCTTCGTCTTTAATTTATTACAAATATATTGTATAAACTGCTACATTACATTGCATCGATTATTGTGCCAAACTGTATTTGCTAAAGAGTAATATGACAAAAGATTTTCTATCAGAATAATGTGTTTGTCTATCATAGTTTTTGAAAGCAAATAGAAACTTGTTTGTTCGATCAAGCCTTGTGATCCTGTTGGCATAGTAACCGTTAGTTACGTCAATTCACACATAAGTAACACGTAAACTTATGTAGTTTTATTAAAATTCATAACAATGGGAGAAGAACAATTCGGAGTTCGCCACGTTATCGGTGCACCTATAGCCACGACGAGACTATCAGAACAGGCGATAGTATGCATACCTCCAAGATCTGCGAAGTTCACTTTAGCAGAATGGAAATTAAGCAACGATATGCGAAGTCGAAATACCGAAGACCAGCAGCAACTAGCAGATCGGGTACTCAGAGAAAGCGAAAGGATAAGAGAAGAGACGGGTGAACGAGCCGCCATCATGAAAGCTACGTCAGACAGAAGGATCGAGGAGCGAATCGGCGACATCGAGTTTAATAAAAATGAACTTCAAGTGCAAAGGAAAGAAATCTGCCTGGAGCTGGAATCGTTAGGCGTGTATAAGACGCGTCTTCAAGACTGTCTCGCATCTTTACAGTCTAACGCTCTCACAATCTGTCGCAAATGTTTAATGCTGCGCGATGGGCGAATTGGCATCGACTTGGTAGTAGATGAAGTAGAACATGCTTTACAGCAAGAGATAACTACAATCCTCGGTGGTCAGAGCCTTTTGAAACGCGCCCTGGAGCAATTGAATGAGCAAATGCGACGTCTCCGATCCACTAGATACCTTCTAGACAGAGATTTGCAATATAAACAAGCAGCTATTGACTTAGACAAAGGTTCGCTATCACTGAAACCGACTGATCTCTGCCTATCAGTCTATGAAGGGTATGCTAATCTAGACCCTGCTAATATATCTGCTGACGAATATAATGCGTATTCTGGCAAAAATATTCAACTGGCAGCTCGAGAAGTAACGAGTGCTCGTCCCATACGCGTTTTTATTGATGTGCTACTCAAGCAAGTTATTGATGATCTTTGGGGCGCTTATAACAAGTGCAACCATGAGTTTAATGAACGTATAGAAGATACGAAACGTGCAAAAGCAAAGTTGGAGGATATGCACAGAGATACAACACAGAAGATTGCAGATATGACGAACAATATTCTGCAATTGCAGAAGGCGTTGTCTGATAAGGAAGGTAATACGGCGTTGGCTCATACCAGGCTTGGGAGACGAGCACAGCGAATCGGAGCCGAATTGGTTCGAGATCCTCCTGGCCAATCATTGTACTACGAATGCGAAATGTTGCGTCATAGCACGGAACAGCTCCAACAAATGCTGCATGAAGCCAACGCGTCGTTGCGCTATTTACTTCAAACACAAATCCAGTTGGAAGAAGATATCAACGTGAAAATGAACACTTTGAAAATTGATGAAGTCGATTGTATGACGTTACGTACTACGATGGATTATCATGCTTATTAATTTCAGTTTTCTTACCCTCTGAAATAATAACTATTTTATATACGGCAAAATTTAGTATCAAAATTAGTAATTTGTTTCGAGCGTATTTGTTAAAGTTTTTGTCGCTATTTACGACTACGAGGCTTTTGAAACAACTTCAATAGAATTATTATATGCTTTGTGTGAAATAAATTCTCATATTCATGTTATTGTTCATTTCTATCCGCTAGTGTGTGATGAGATTGGAATCTCATTGTAGATTCCTTAGGAATGTTATATATCGAGGATTGTGCTCAAAGTGCGTGGTTAAAAGACTTTAATATTTGTCACATAGAAAAGAGCATAGGCACGGAATGCTGTGAATTCTGGTTCAAGTCCTGCCTCGCCAGTATCGAGTTTTTCTTAGTTCGGGGTTGGATTTCCTTTTATGAATATAAGGATTATTTGATCAATTAAATCTTACCTTATTTGTGCCTTAGAATTAACTTTATTATCAAAGTTGTATCGAACGTTTGATTTCAACTTTCGTTGTGTTCTTACTTACCTTTTGCTCTATACCAATATTGGGTACCAAGATTAAATAAGTATTTGTTTTAATGACCTACTGTAGAGATTACTTGGTTTATCATTGATACAGTAAACTGACCATCACGGTTCGAATTCCACCTGTTTCAAATACTTTCTTAATTGAACTTATATTCTAGGATGTCATTTAATACTTAAATTATTTTTTAAGTGTTTTCGAAGCTTCTCAATCGCTGTTCTGGGCTTCTTTCGGAATGGTTGGTCTGGATAACTTCGAGTTGGCCGGCATTAAGAGTTACACTCGGTTCTGGGGCCTGCTTATGTTTGGGTCCTATTCCGTGATCAATGTGATTGTATTGCTCAACCTCCTCATTGCTATGATGTCTAACTCTTATGCTCATATTGATGTAAGTATGTTGGTATCGACGTGTATTTTTTTATGTAAAAGTGGATACTAGTTTAAAGCAATAAATTGCCAAATGCTTTTTTTTTACATTTCTAAAAAAATTGCTTCCAATGTCTATTGTTGATCAAGATTATACATTATTTTCACAATGACTTCAAAATTTTAGATACGAATACCGACGTCCGACCGATTTAATATTATTTTAGATGAGAAATATTTTAGATAGATTTACGATGTAAAAAAAAGGATAGTCTTATCTCTTTTTAAACACAATACCAAATCTATCATAATATAAGCCATATTACTAAAAATATTATTTTAAAATTCAAATCTAAACAAGAAGCGTTGGCGAAATATATTTGGATTTGATATACTGAAATACCCTGTAACCGAACCGAAGGAATTTTGATATTCCTTTTAAATATCACGATTTCCATGCGAAGTCCAACATGTTTCAAAAACAATGTAACATGTTGGACCCTAGGTTGATTATTGGTCATACTTGCTACCATTGAACGAACGAGTAGTCATAATATTTTAATATCGTTATGTTAAGTCGAAGAACGTGTAACTGATCGAGTATTTATTAATATAAGTCACGCTAGCATTGTGTGGTAAACATGCATATCTTTAATCAAATTAGATCTATCGACCATATTAAAGACAAACTAGGTATGGACATGTAACATTTCTTTTCAACGATTCCTAAGGATAAAACAAATATCATAATAAATAAAAATGATCGAAATATATATCTTCATGTTAATTTGCAAGTTGATTTGCTTGCCCGCGTATGCCAATCGTATTTTTCAAGATACGCATTTTGTTAGTGTCTGAAACAAGAGACATTCTTTGTTTTTGTGATGTGTTGTGTGTCCGGTCTTTTTGTTTACGGTACGTGGGTCTATTCGGTCTTTCTCTTTTACATGGCGTGTCTAAGAGATTTCATTTTTTCTATTATTATGAATATATATTAAACGAAAAGGACATATTTTTTTTGAAGATGCTATGAAGCATTATACGTACAATTAAACAATAACTAGGTACATTCTTTCAATGAGAACAAAAAATATTAATACTTGCATTGATATAAATTAATTTACAGGAACATTCTGACGTCGAATGGAAGTTTGCCAGGACGCGTCTATGGATGTCCTATTTCGAGGACAGTCCTACTCTACCGCCACCTTTTAACATTCTCCCAACACCAAAACGGATCATGAGGCTGTTCGGCTCGAAAGACAAGAATAAACAGGTTAAAGTAAAGGTAAATAATGTACGACGTAAATACTGTATAGACAGTATTATACTGTATAGAAACTATAGAGTTTACGCGAGTAGTACACATTTAAATAAAACACTTCAACGGTTTAAAAAATGTACGACGTTTTTGTATTTAAGTATGGTCTGTAGTTTACAGAAGAAGTACACATTTAATGAAATCATTATTACCGTTTTAGACACGAAAATATATTAGTAACTTATTATAACTACGGACCGATGTTTTAGTTTCGTTGCATCATTCGTGGTCAGTTAAAAATAAATTAAGTAATATGTTTCGCGCTTTACATGTTTGAAAGTGGTTTTTTAAATGTTTGTATTTATGAAAGCGAGCTACTTATCACTTATTTAAAATTATTGCAATGCTATATCATTATTTTCTTGGGGAATATTTTAAGCATCCCACTTCCCTACTATCCTCTTTTATTTTTTTTATCAGGTGGAAAAGGAGAAAGAAGACGATGTTCGCTACACAGCGGTTATGCGGGCTCTTGTGTGGCGTTACGTGTCAGCGATGCATAGAAAACTAGATGATGATCCAGTGACAGAAGATGACATTAACGAGTTGAAGGGAGACGTGTCTGCACTGAGATATGAGCTTCTCGAAGTGCTGGGAAGAAACGGAATGGATGTATCATGTGCTGATAGGAAAGAAAAGGGTAAGTACTATATAGCATAAGAATTTAATAATATATCGCGTTTGCGTTTAAATTCAATCAAGGTTTTCTAATTTTGACGTATATATAATACCTGATAACATAACCCATATTCTTCGATAGCAATTACTTTTTTGAATATAAGTAATAAATATGTACTTTATAAAGAATATTATTTTCCTCCTCAAATAGCAGTTCTCGGAAAACGCATGAAAGTCTGGGAGCGAAGATTAATGAAGGACTTCCAAGTGGCTCCTGTCTCTGTAATAGATGAAGAAGGAAAACCAGCAAACGAAGATGCTCTGGCCAGGTTTAGGAGGATTGCCCGTATGGCTGCGGCAGCCAACAGCAACGACAAGTGGAAACAGACGCTTGCTGCGACTGGAGTATCGTAAGTATTGTGATGTTATTGTTCTAATAAAAAAAAATAACTTCGTAAGAAAAGTACCAAAAAAATAAGAAAGTGCCATACCAACACGTAGTATGTAATTAATTCTCAACGCTTCAAATCCTTTCTTTTATTTCATCAACTTCTGGCGCTACAAGTAAACTACTTCTTATAGGTGGCATTGTATTCGCAAACCATAATTAATGCTTATTTTAGTAATGCCTAATAGTCTTTACAGGTCTCAAATTGGACGATGCCGAACCAGGGAATCCTTTAAAAGTCAGCAAAAGCTGCAGCAGGCCATGGAACATGCTAAACGACTTGTTATGCGGTCGCCATTACCAGGTGTATATTTACTTATCATTTACAATTCAATATAACGATGATAAACTAACGTAAGCCCTATCATTCCAACGCATAAGGGTCTATGTTTATCTTCTTTTTCAGTTTTATTATCATCAGTCTATTTAATATGTAATTTGTAGACATATCCCGCTCTGCATCACCAATTCAACTACCAATATCGCCCGGACATACCCTTAAAGAACTAATCAAGGATATATCTGAAGATGTTGGAGCTAGCGTAGACTTGAGGACGCCCCAACCTAATAGGATTAATGGTAATTACGGTCCTTAATTTAAGAAAACATAATAAAAAATATATTCGTTGGTTAGATGGATCATCATTAAAACTTAACGAAATTGTAACATTTTTAAATATTTCGACAGAAAATCTTCTGAGTGCCCCACGAACAATGCTTTCTCCAACTCCAACGCCGGATACAAAACATCAGAATAAGTCAAAGGTAAGGTCTAATATTATTAAGAGGAGGGGTAGATTCTTAAAATTTTTGTGGAGCACATTTTACACATTTAATAAACATATTTAGAAGCTAGAATTACGTATAAAATTATCGTTAACCTTTCCCAGCCCTCTTCGAGAACGACTTCACCCAACAGACCCCGAAGTCCCAAACCCGGGTCTAGTCTAACAATCGATGACGCAAGATCAGGTAATACAATATTACAAAATACGATGTCTTTGTAAGGGCACTAAATAATGTATTCTTTCTTACACAGTAGACCCAAGTCCACTGAAGTCGAAACGCGTCACTGATCCAACCACAGTGCCGAAAGTTGTGAAGAGAAAGCCACCTCAACCACCAAATGAACAAGAAGTTAGTATTGATATCTTCTCTCTATCTAGCCTGTTAATTCTTCTATTTCTAGAATATTTATGAAATTAAACAAAACTTAGTTACCAATTATCAAAGTTAACCTTTAAGAATAAAAAAGAAGAAAGTTAACGACATGAAACTAAACATATAGTTACGAAACTGCATCTGACAGCAGTATATAGTGGGTAAGCTTCATACACTGGTTTCCAGGCACTTTCCAATGATTTGTAAAAGCACCAACCGTAATTAAATATATTGAGTTATTGTTTTTGAGAACTTTCTTACCATTTATCTTTCACTATCTTGCACTGAACACATTCAACTTTTGACTTCTATTAACAGCTAATTCTTTCTAAGCACGTAATTGGTTAACATAAAACACTACACAAGAACAAAAGGACATTTTGTAATCCAGGTTACGGATGCAGATGTCAAATGTGGAGACGTTGCCGTGGCAAGACCACCTGCTCCAGACCTTAGACCGAAGGGTTCCTTGCCTCCTCCACCGAGTAACAAAGCTAAGGTACGTTACGGTTATTGCACATAAAATTAATTAAGTTGAATAATCATTTTTACATGGTACAATAAGAAAATGGGTTACGCCCTTTCGTAATGATGGTCTAAATTTCTAGAAATATCTTTATTAATGACAATCTTAAAAAAAATAGAAAAACTCGTTGTCAACATCTTTATTATTATTTTGTTTAAACTTTATTTTATTAAATTTATTAACTGCGGCCCGATGTTCCGAACGCTTTGCGTACACTGAGGGTGGACACCAATACTTACTTTTTTGTTGTTACTCTCTATATGGTGTACGTATGTTTTTTTATTTGTAGGCCCAAACCCCAACTATGGAGATCACACCATGTACTCCTTTATGCCAACGTGCGTCACCAGCTGAACCTAAATCAAGCGCTGCATCCGCAGAATCTAAGCCAGCGCCGATACCTCCCCCACTGGTTAGACTTTTTTTAGATCACTTTAATAGTTAACGTTTACTCTAGTTAAATTGAGCTTTTAGTACGAATTTTTTACCATTTTTAATTCTTGTAAGAGAAGAACGACATTTTTGCCAGTTTTTTAATAAATTCCTAATTCTTTATAAATATATAATGAGCAGATTATGTTAACAATGGTCAACCCCATGATTTACTTGATGGTAGGTGCCAATACCAGCCATATAACATTTAACCAAGACGCGCTGTCGACCTGTATTGACTTTGGATATTCCGAAATACACAGACTGAAAGCAAAGCGTGATCAAACCTGACTTTATTATCACACGACATGCAGCTCACGAAGTCCAACATGTTTAAAAAAATATATAAATTAATTAGAAAAATGTTGGACCCAGTGGGACTCGAACCCACGACCCTTCGATTAATTACTACCATAAATTGCCACCATTACACGAACGAGCCCGTCATATTACTATTTTTAAAATTTGATGCCCATCAAACCGTAGAAATGAACTAAACAGTATTTATTGCAATATATATGGGTGCTTATAAACGTTAAAATTTGCAGCCGGACTCACCAGTAACATCAGTGTCAGATAGTACGGAGCACTTGATTCCTTCACCAGAACCACTGCAAATGAGGAATCTAGATGAAAACATTAGAAGCATCAAGAAAACATCTAAGACTTGGCTCTAATACACTCTATGACACCTGTATAATGATATGGAATGAGTAGCATCCCTTTCATAACTAATTGCAATTTAAATAAAACATTTTAACGGTTTAAAACGCGATATATATTAGTTAAACTTATTTGGAGATTATTTTAACTATGGCCTGACGTTTCGCATGCTTTCCACAGCACCCGTCATGTCGGCCACGTCACGCCGTAGTTAAAACTAAGTTTAACTAATATATATCGCGTTTTAAACCGTTAAAGTGTTTTATGTAAATGTGCACTACTCGGGTAAACTACAGACAGTATTTAACTTATTGCAATGTTTGAAAACAATTCATTTTGTTTCTTTATTATTACAGATTATCATAAACGTCATGTCGTGTAAACTGTTGTATTGTTTCATCATAAATATATATTAAACAAAATAGACGACTAAATTAACATTAATATATTATTATCTAAAATGTATTTTCTACTTTTCTAATTAATTGTTATTAATAATTTAACACAGCTTGATTCCCTTATCAAGACCGTCCGATTCACAATCTTGAAGTATAATAAGTAATATACTTATTTAGTTAAAATAATAATAGCTAGGAGTGTTTTATCATTATTTTTGTACATTAATATACGCTTTCATTAGTTTTACTTATTGTACATTTCTTTATCTATAACAGTTCCTACATAGTGCAATTATACATAAAGCTAAGTTAATAGTTATTTCAAAGTTTAATCCAATTTAGTTCAGATTTTTCATCGAATACAATTTTATCTGTTTAAAACGAATGCTGGTTTCTGACAGTTTCAAAGTTAAGTTAAATTGATTGAAGATAACATCTTAATTAAAATCTAGTTTAAGTTATAATAAGCGCTCTCAGCTATTTTCAACTTTTACTACGAGACGTTTCATTGTTTATTATTAGAAGTTTCTTTTGTACTTGTCATGAGTCGAGAAGCTGTTTGATTGTTCATTTTATGCATTTTTCATTTACTAATGTGAATACATAATAGTAATATTATCTTATCAAGGCATTAATGTACGAGAAGATAATATTACTATAACGAACAAAAGATCCACTATTTTTCCTCCTTAATTTAATTATTATGTGATCGTCTAAAAACTCTTTACTTTAAAACAAGAAAAACTTTCGTCTTTTTAAGACGAAAGTTTTTCTTGTTCTATGTACCGTGTTATGTATGATTCTAGTTGCTTTTAGTTATAGGCATCTGTCATTGGTAGAGAATATGTCAATCCTCGTATTTCTTATGTCCGTTCATTAATATTTGAGTAATAATCCCGGATTTGTACTTTCGCTTGAAGGGTGCGTATCAAATGAGGCGGAATATGATAGAATATATAGGGGCGTGTAGTTTCAGCGTCAATTTCATGACATTTATGAATGGCTGATAGACCGCCTTCGTGATTCGATTCCATGTTATTTGTTATTTGCCCTCGATTCTATATGGAGTCTTTCACGTGTCTGAAATCTGTCAAATGTAATAAATTACGGTATATTTCTTTTGATTTCTACAAAATGACAAGCCTATATGAATCTAAAAATTCTTACTACTACTATTGTATACCTACAAATTACGCATTTGAAGATAGTTTTAAATAAATGCTGTACCTCAAGCACGGTTTTGCGTGTGTCACAGATTTGAATCCGTTTTATTCCATTATTTCGCATATTTGCTTGTAATACATAATATTAAGGAGGATCTGATGTTTTGTCTTCTTCGCTTTAAGATTTATTTACATTAGTGTGACAGAGACGACACTGTATTTTACACTGTATTTTATTATTACTATACTTAAGATTGATGTTACGAATGTAACATATTTAAGTTATTTTATTGCAATCATGTGTATATGTATAAGTATTTTGTCAACGGTATTAAAATATTTTACAGTTCCACTAAGTGTGTTTGACTATCCTTATTGAAAATTACCAAAGTTCTTTTTTTTATAAAAATACACTACAAAGTTTTTTTTTTATAAAAATAAAACAAGCATTTGGAAATTGAATCACTACTCCAAAAGGCTTTAAATCTTTTCTTCAAAAGGCTTTAATTTTTTTTCTTTTGTTTAAATCAATCAAATGATCTTTTATCAAACTTTTTTAAAATTCAAAGTATAGAAAATAATTTTCAGCATATATGTACTTATAGCATAAGTCAATACTCAATACTGGTAATACCCACTTCCCAAATGACAGTAAAGTAGTACTTCGGAATTGAATATTATTATTATAAGTGTGAAAAATATAGGTCAATGAAATGAATATAACCAAGAAATTTTATTTACCATAAAAATAACTCACTTACATGGTGTATCTGCTTACTTACTGCGCTGAGCCGCAACCGAATACGTATATCGCCTGTATTGGACATTAAAATAAAACCCAACATCGTAAACAAGCTTTTTATTTAATTAAACATTAAAATTTAACGAAAATATAACGTATATAGACGAACTGATAGTTGATTGTCCAAATTTATTAGACGTGAGAAACACTAAAGTTATTTTTGCTATTTTTTTATTATGAGTGCCGATATTATATCAGGCTATTCTAGTTCCCATAGCTGGGACTGGATCTTTCTTTTTGGTTTCAATCATCATCTTAATGTCGAATTTTTGGTTCTAAATATGTTGGTTTCCTTAGAATGTGTTCCCTCGCCATGAAAAGCAATATATATTAGGCAATAAATTATTACATAATAATATGGTGTAATTAACAAATTTTACCGATTACTTGAGTGGTTCTAGCTGAACTATTTTCATATGCATATATGGCAACATATCATATATAACCTCCTTCAGAATCACATTGTTACGTCACTATAGCTAATATACGTTCAAAACTGGCAACATATTCTAGCCATAGGCATGCTACAATGAAATTATGAATTTGGCTCTTAGACTAAACTTAGATTAGGCATTAAGTGTAAGTGGCAGGCTTCTCTCTATAAAAATCATCTAAGTTTTACTTAAAAACGTTTAAAAATATTTCATAATAATTACGCTAGTTAAGAAACAGAATCATACGTCAATAATAACCAAATAGATTTTGTTATGGGGCCAAGTCTGCGAATTCAAGTAAGGAGCTGGTGTGGTTAACAGCGATAAACACACTTCCTGGGTTCAAATTCCAGTTAAACATTGTAAATAGTTAGTTTGGAAAGGTGTTTGGTTTGGAAAGAAGTTTGCCTATGTAAATATGGCTGTAAGTAAAATTGATTACTGAAACAGACTCAAAAAAGTATCTTTAAAACGTGGTTTTAAACTTCTCCATGCCTGTATTGAGACTTAAATGATGCAAAGAAACTATAATTAGAAAAGACGCCAAAACATTGACAAGGAATTTAGTATTTCTTCTCCTAGTAATTAATAATAGAAGAAGTATTTCGACACGCTACATTTGACATGGACATGAATTAGCAAACTTAGGCCCTTATTCATTCATGAAATTAACATCACTAACAAAAAATTGTACTACCGAATTTCGAAACGAACTACTTAAACTAATTATTGCTATAACACTTATCATCTCACTAATACGTCATAACTCTAAAGTTCAGTCGTCTTACAGCCATCCAGATACCATTTTTCCTGTGACCTTAGATTTTCCTTTATCCGTAACCAATTGTGGTCCTGCAGACGATGGTGCTGGTGCGGGACTAGGTTTTGGTTTAGGAGACTTCGGTTTTGTATCTTTTGGTTTTTCTTCCTTTGGCTTTTCCTCCTTCGGTTTTTCCTCCTTTGGTTTTTCTTCTTCTTTCTTAGGTTCTTTAGCATGGTCAGACTCAAGTGTAGCCGCTGAGAGTATTTGCTCTTGTTTTTCCGGAACCTCTGCCTTATCCTTCGAATGCATACTAGGTGTAGGTGTAATTGGTTTCTGTAGGGTCGAATCTTCTTCCTTGGTTATGTATAGATTTTTGCTAGGCGATTCTGGTTCATTGTCTTCTATTTGGATGACGTGTTCCTTCTTCTCCGGAGTGGCTCCTTGAGTCGGCGAGGCTGTGCTCGGTTTTGGTTCCTCCTCAGCTGGTTTGTCTGGCTTATTCTTCTTGGAACCACCGGGACTTGAACCTGAAAGTTAATGTTATGTGTCGCTGTATAAAGACAAGTTTATAAGCGTTGTGCAAAGTTATGCAACAAATATTGGCTTGGTTTATTTAACTACGTATTATGGTAGCAAGCTTCTTTTATAGGCACCAGTTATTTTATATTTTTGCTTCAATATTAACTTACCAGTATTTGAAGTTAGTGTGCAAGTTTTGTACAAAGGTGCACAATTTAAAGGTATTACAAAATGTGCACAGAAAGATAAAAATTTGGAAAAAAATTACCAATGCCTTTATCTTCGATGTGTGCTTGAACTTTAATTTCATTTTTTTTCAAGTTGTCATCTGACGACTCTGGTATTGGTGTTTTAGGCCTAAATGGTGGAGCTGAAATGTAGATTTATATGTTAAATGTAGCCAATGCGCGCTGTGTTTAGTTTTGTTTGTAGTTGGTAAATTGATCAAAAGTTAATGTCATCGTGTGTATAAATAGGAAATAAATTTGTTAGTTAATAAAGTAAATAGATACAATGTACGTACTAGGAATAAACATTCAATTTCTTATCTGTAAAGAGAACCATGGTAACATAGTTAAGAAATAAAATCGTATCGTATTCTTGAGATTATGTAAATGGAAAATAGATCCTATATGCTCCAACACGAGAGCGCCAATGCATTTGTTATTTCACTCGCGTTTTACAAAGTTATGGATATTTACTTTTCGGTTTAGCCTTTGCAGATGACGTTTCATCTTCGATGCTGAAGTCTTTCTCTGATGTCCCAGTCTTTTCTCGTTCGCTGAAGTCTGATTTGATCTTGCTTCTCATGAATTTGGCATATGCCACCCGTGTTGTTGGAGTCACGTCAGATAGTTTAGGGTTGAATTCTGTTGCGGAAATATTTTTAACAATCGATGAATTATTGGATAATAATGGTCTATGGATATGTGATACGAATTTAAAAAAAAATATTTTGTTTTTAATTTTACGTTTTTACAAAAAAGTAAGTAATTTACCCAATAATTTCTGCGGATCGATAGTCCTATCTTTAACATTGTCAAGAATATGGGCTCGAAGCGACTGTCTGCTGCGTTTAGTTTCAGCTTCTGTGGTACTTCCAATGGGGTCTCGGCGCACAGTATTTGTTCTAACCACAGCGTTCCAGTCACGTTTTTTACTGAAGAATATAAAAGAATCGTATTATAATCATAATAAACAAAGGTTTCCAAAAACGACTTTCGCGGTTAATACTTAAACGAGGTTTTGGGTTCAAATTCGTCGCGGGATACATAATACATAGTCTAAGTTAGGCAGGGCGTGAATGACTCAAACAGACAAAGAAATGTCTGCCCCACACCCTACATAAGGAAAAAGAAATTTCACTCTCATGTAGTTCCCTTCTCACTCATTATTTCTTTTAAGAATATATTTAAATTCATGTTAAATTTAGCGAAGTGTATTAAGCCTAATATTTTTCGACGAATTGATTTGTAGCGATTGCTTTTACTCTTATTTATAAGGCGTGTAATACAAAGACTTACTTCTCAGGACTCCCTTTTCTTACAATGGCTTTAGCGATCTGACTGAAGACATCCTTAGGCTTACTCTCCTTAGATATCACGTCCTTTATAATACCTTCGACAATACCAATCTGGAAGTCTTTGAGAATCCTTCTCTCCATCACTTTACCCTTCTTGCCGGAAACTAAAATAATTATATTAAGTAAGCATATTGTTTTTGAAAATTTTGTAGTACTAGGCTGTTTAATCACGGTTGTAACCACAAATATAGTGGCGAAATTTTTTAAGCTCGCCAACTAGAACAGAAGTAGTGTGGTTTGAGTTTATGCTACTTAGAGGTAGCAGCATTGAGGAGTTATTCGGTGGAAATAAACAAAATATTTGTTATATATAATTTACCACCATTGTATTATACTTGGGATAATTTTAAAATGTGATTCATACGGTATAGCAGCTATGTATGGAAATTCTTTTTTTATATTATATTTACTTGATTTGAGTTGCCAATTAATTTATTTTGTATCACTCACTTGTTGTTTCATTCATTTTAATTCTCGGTGTCTTCATGCCGTTATTTGCCAGAATATCGATCAATTCGTAACGAAGCGTTGATATGTCCTGTCTTATCTCCATCACGTCATCTTCTGTGACACCTACTTCGTCTCTGGCTCGCTGTTCAGCTGTTACATATCGGCGCACAAGCACACGCATCACTGCTTCATGCTGCAGACGTGCTTTCTCACGAGATTTATTCTGTTGAATATTAAATGTATTGTTACGCAACGGCACATTATGGCGTCATTCTGTTAAGAGGTAGTCATTATTCTTTTTCGGTGTTTTTCTTAAATTGTATAATATTTTTTAGAAAACTTTGTAGGATAATGCAGGGTAAAAGATCAACTTATAAGAATTACATATATAAATCATAATATAAATTGTAAAAAAGTGTATATGCACTAATTTTAAGGAACTGAAAAGAGTTATAAAAATAATGTAGATTTGTATAGTGTTCTCAAGTAAGTGATACAACTTTTTTGAGAAATAGATTTCTCAAAAAAGATGTATCACTCTCTCTATGTCATTAAATCTTAACTGGTCCATTTACATAAAGGCCTGAGTGCTAATTCTGCTTGTTACGTTGCGTTACTTTTACATCATATCAGCTTGCATTGATGAAATCTTATATTATATGAACTAATGATATGAAGTGTAAAAAATATTAAATGAAACCAACAATAATAGAACCCCTGTCGCGATTACTGCACATGCGATTGATCCAACCAGAGAGGTGCTTCGGCGTCGGGATGATGTTGAAGGGTGGAGGGACAGTGTCTCCGTCCTCGAAGTAAGACATCCACAGGTTACTGCGAGCGAACTTCCACTCAATATCTGACCTTTCCTGGAGACGTAGAAAATTATAAATAAACAAAACACCTTCATAATTCATATTATACATTGGTTTATGATAGAGAAGCACAGACAAGCATGGCGTTTATTTGGTGGAATACCCCAGCCATATAAGATCTAGACAAGATGTGCTGACTTATTTATGGCTTTGCGAATTCGGAAATCCACAGATTGAAACTGACAGACAGACAGACAGTGGTTCGTGACCTAGACGGAATTTCGATATACCTACCACCCATTCAATATCCCGATTTCCAGATGAAGTTTACCATATTTAAGAAAAATCAAACCCACGACCCGTTGAGAGCCAAGGCTACCGTTACACCAATGAGCTCGTCAAAAATGACTATGATACTCTTTGTAAGTAGCCATAGCCGCTGTCAAATATCTGTGTAAAAAGGGCTTTCCTTTAAATTGATATGAAGCATATAAGTAAAAAATAAATTACGTAAGTTAGTTACTTATACTTACAGAAATGATTTGGTAGGAGTTTGACATCATAGCGATAAGCATATTAAGGAGTACGATAATGTTAATGACAGAGTAGGAACCGAAGGTGAGGAGCGCCCAGAACCGAGTGAAGCTCTTGATGCCGGTCAGCTCGAAGCATGTCAGGTCTACGAGACCGAAGGACGCCCAAAAGAGAGATTGGGAAGTCTCGAACAGACTGTAATAGAAATCAAATTAATCTCATTTCTTCTTTAAATGTGTATTCGTGATAATTACTAAGAAATTTTGCTGGTGTCAAACATATTATTAAAACTTTGATTATTTATGAGTTAAGTTTTAAGACATTGGCTCGACGTTTTGATTCGGATACTTCGTAGCAGTCTAATAGTTGAAGGGACGAATTCTTCCGTGACTACGCGTATTAAACCGTTAAAAAGTTTTTTTTTAATGTGCTTTACTCGTGACTACAGACAATACTTAGCTATTTGATACAAACATTACGTTTGTAATTTAATTTAATGTGACTAAAACCAGATTTTGTGCTACAAAAAGTTTGTTGTTGGCTATTGTTACAAATTTAGACTTTTATATGACACAATATAAATTTACGATCTTGCACGTTAAGTTAGGCTGAACGATTTATATCAATCAAGAGGGCAGGTGAAAGGATATTAATCTCACTTAGCGTATCGTCTCCAGATCGTACAAGCCCTTTCTTGATTGTCGAAGTCCGGTAGATCTCCGTTAGGTAGATGGTAACATTTATTTTTTTCCAGTTCCGCATAGTACCACATCAGCTGGTTTAGACCTGCAATTTAAAATGTATCTTTAGTGATGAACCTGTGTGACAGTTCTTATCTAATATGTATTTAGATTCTGCTGTGATTTACGGTACAATTACACCATAGTTATTAAGGAAAATGTCACATAATTTAGGATTCAATTCAATTCTAAATGTACTTAATTTAATTCAAATCGAGTAGGTACGTACGTGCTATAAAAAGGTTTTTAGCAGTTATAACCTAATAGGTGATTTATAATCTGAGTGAGAAATAAATGTCTCTAAACCGGTGTACAGTGTTTTTTTTGTATATGGTTTTAAAAATCCACATAGGGAATGTAATAAAACGTAAATCTTAAAAATCACTTTTTGAAAACTTTTCTATGTCCTAAGAAAAGGACTTGCTTCATTAGACAAAGAGTTAAGAATAAAAATTATTGTCGTCCCATACATATAATAATATTTTTTTTTGTTCAAAAGGTCTCAATTTGTCCCCTAAGTTCTTGTATGATACCATGTCTCTTGTGCATTTAATACGTAACTCATCTAGCAATAGACAATAATAGAAGATAACGCGGTCGATTCTGTACTCACGCTATATTCAATTTATAGACCGTTGCGGGTCTATAAAATGTTTGTTGGTTTGACATAGTGTCATTTTAATATTGAGATTAATGCCCCTTTGTCTGTTACCTGCCGACCTATTATGCACGCTACGATACCAAAATTCCATTTCTCGCGATAGTAGACATACCTATATACGTATAGGTATAATTTACTTGTTTTGAGTAGGCGAGCCGTGAAGGTTAATAAAACATACGCTGAGTAACACTGTTGCCGAGAAAGTAGTACCGAGTTTTACCCAGGCCAATTTTTTTTCAACCGAGTATCTACTCGGCCAAGTAACTCGGTTCAGTAAAATTTCCACTCCGCGCGCGTAAGCAGATACATACAATTTCGCGCCGGTAAAGACATCGGCTCGCTTTGATACACCCCTCACCCCGCCCAGACCTTTCTCCTACCAGTTACTTGATTGTTTGCAAACGCGTTTATTTATTTTCAAAGATTTCCTAAATTACTAATAAATACTTTTGGATTAAAACTGTTATTTCAATTATATTTAGCTAAATGTATGGCTTTTCTAAAACAAAGTATACGCGTTATCAAATGACAAAGTATAAGAGTAAGTAAGTATAAGAGGTATTCGGTCGAGTACGGCCCGTCTTTAATAATAATATAGACAAAGTCACTCCAACAAATGTAGATGACTTTTTAAAAAAAGATAAAAAGTCATTCAATTCAAGTCAGAAAATGTACAAGAACTATACAATGCGCAATCCGAAACGGTAGATAATATTTTCTCGAAGGATGCATGCTACACCGCCCGAAACAGCTCTATTCGACCTTTTATAATATAAAGTATTGTATATGACGTGGGATTTAGTCGTAAAAATATGGAAATCTATGATTATTGAGATAAAGGGCGTAAAAAATAAATCGAAAAACTTTGTCTTAACATTCATGTCGAATATGTAAACTTTAAATCAAACTATGCATATTCCTTGCTTAGTTTTTACGCACATAGACAAATACACATATTCGTGTGTGTAAATTTAATGCTGTACAGACGGGTGCAAAACAGCTGTTTCTTGGCGAATGACTTTAAACCAATGTATTCCTTATATTATTATAAAATTGTATTCTTGATTATGTTAGTATGTTAACTTAAGCATATGTTGGTATACATTTTATAGTCTATTGTATTATGTTTTGAATGTTTGTGTTTCCAATAATATTATAATAATTATAAAAGTACAAATGTACATTCCAAAAACTTCACTTACCACATCCAAAAGCAAACAGCACCAACATATAAACGAAGAAGAATTTCATGATATCCAAGATCATTCTGCCGAGGGAGACCTGCAGGGGACCGAGATGAGGGTTGATGGAGAAGATGTGGACCAGCTTGAGGAAGGAGAAGATCATGCCGGCAGCGAACGCGCCTTCGGATAGCAGCATCGGGTCGAAAGAGTCCCAGCGCTCGCGAGGGTACCACGGGTCTTTGCCGCTTCTGTAGTCGCGCTGTAAAAAAAAATCATAGTCAGTGAAAAAAAATGCCGACCCGTAACAGTGTCTAAGGAAGATCATCAGATGTGGGACAGCGATTATAAGATTATAACTTTATTACATATTGTCTGCAGTTACTACAAAATGTATATATTTTAATTTAAACTAAGTACGACCCGACGTCAATAAGTTAACGTAAAATTTTACTTTCTTTTATTACTTTTAAAAATAAGAACTATTTATAAACTGTTTCCTCTTAGGTAACGTGTTACGTCTGGAACGTACAGACAGACTAAAGGATTGTTTACCTGTACAATGTACCACGAAGAGAAACGCAAGCAGATCCAGGCAATGTAAAAGACGTTCGTGATGAAATCCACCATGTTCCAGAGATCACTGATGTACTCCAAAAGCCCACCATTCCAAAGGGAACGGATTTCACCCCATATTAAACCTAAGTACATATGTATATTATTATATATATTAAATCTTAATAACTAAATCAATGTGTACAAAGAAATAACCTTACTTACATTTTATGAAATATTATTTAATCATACTTAAGTAATAGTTATAAACCTATATTTATATTTAAATATGATCGACATATATATTGCCTTTTATCAAGGACAATTTTGAACAGAAATGCTTTAAAAGAAACCGCATAGTTCACATCAACTTCATTGTTTTTTCCTTTAAGTGTAAAGTATTTATATGAATTAGATAAAGCTCTTTTCTCAGCAATTAATATTAAATGTAGTTTATATTTATTGTGAAAAAGCTATTGTATATTGGAATAACGCATTTTAATTTACCGCCTCTTTGATATCAACGAAATATCTCGATAAATTGAATATTAATCACTGCTTTCCAATTTTAACTGAAAAATATTTTGCACTTTTGCGTGGTGCAAAATTTTAATAAGAATTTTTCAAATAATTCAGAAGATATAATATTTTTGTTGATGATTATACATTGCCACGTTAATAGGTATAATTATAAAGTGGGTAGGAATATCGAAAATCCGCCCGGGTCACCAACTACCGTCCACAGATGAAAAAGCCGTGAAGGTTGTGGAAGTCTGTGGATTCCCGAATATCTAAAGCCAAAATAGGTCGACCGCACATCTTGTTTATATGTCTGAGGTATTTCGTCATACATCAAGTGAACCTCGTGCTTGTTTGTCCTACTCAATATTAAAAAACGTAAAGCTTGTATTGATAGCTCAAACATTTTAATTTTGGTATGTGCCAAAAAAAATAAAATGCAATAATACCTATATATAACACAATATTAAATCTATTATTTTTCAATTAAGAGTATTTAGTTGCACAAATAAAAATTTACTTGCTATGTAGAAGATGACACAAAATTCCAGCAGACCAGGCAACGATCCTCGTTCGTGCGCTTTCCAGTATTCAACTAACTCTTGCAGCCAGGATATTCCAGAATATTCCAAAACGAGAAACTCCGCCCTTTGTGATGCCAATGATAATAACGCTGGAAATGATTGACTTTTGTACAATTTACACTTGCGTTGTATGTTCATTTACGAACAAATATTTTTAACCAATGTGACAAAATATACTAATAACATCATATATGCGACTTTAATTGGGTGTTTTTTTTTCTTTTTATATTCTCTGCTTTGACCGTCTGTCTCCGAAGCTCATTGGTCAAACACGTCGCCTTGTGTTAGTTTTGAGATGTCTCGTTTCAAAACTCGAAGGAATAATACATTATTTTGGTCGAGTAGGACACAGAAGTCTTGTAGTTTTTTATTTAATATATTTACAGGCAAGTACATATATTAAATCAATCAGTGAAATAGGGAGAGAAATGTGTTTGCACTTAGCTCGCTTAGGAAAGACGTATTATCGTTATAATTGCAAAATTATATTTTGTTCAGAAAAAATATCTTTTAAAATTTGAAGAGTACTCAATTTATCTTTGTGTGAAATTCCTCGTGGGGCGCGGGGCGTGTGGCGCACATATTTCTGTGTCCGTTTCACTGATCTGTTCTTTTTAACAGACAAGTAGTTGATAAGACTTCTGTTCCCTACCCGACCGGAGTTACCTTTATTGTTTGTTCCTCTGGGATTCGAACCCAGGACCTCTCACGCATAACGCAATACTAGGCAATACGTTTAACCCTTTCGCTACAGAGGAGGTCAAACAAACAATTTATCTTTACTACAATAAAATTTACCAATATAATATTAAAATCCTCAAGCTCGTGTCTCTTACATCTGCATGTAAGGCAACTCTTTAGGACGATTCAAATTAATTAGAAGTGAAAAACTTACATAAGAACAACATATAGGAGGAACTGTGACAGATGAATTTGACGAAAGGTTTTTTCATGAATTGACCGTATTCCGAGTCTGGCGACATCATATAGATGGAACAATAGATTGGAAACATCGCACCGAGTTTCGCCACCTAAAAATATAATAATTGAGAATATAAAATTTTAATTAAAAAAAACTTTTAACGGCCTTAAAAGGGCGCAGAATACTAGTTACATTTTTTTTATTTACTTTAGTTACGGCCCGACGATTCTGATAAAATGTCATCGGTCCGTAATTAAAGTAAATTAAAAATAATTTGACTTCTAATTTACGATTTAAACGCGGAATTTTATTTAATTACTAGTCGTTTAACTATAAGCAATATTTAAGAATGTTTAATACTAAATTTTTTTTATCTCTATTCTAGTTTAATAAAAGTATATAATAAATGTTTACAAAAATAATACTACGTATACAAATCGTTAAAAACCTTTATTTACCTTTACAAAGAGACGAATTATTTTCTATCCTTATAGTTATATATAAATAGTTATTTCACAGTCAAACAGCGTTTCTAATAATCAATAAAGCCCTTGAAAATATTTTATAGTGTTCCGTTGGAGTTGAAATTGTACCTGTACGCATTGTCCCACGATGTTTTTCCGCTTAAATCCGGGAAGACCTTCGTACCAAATGGCTCCTAGAAGTTGTTGTACGTTGGGATGTGCTACGAACTGGAAATCCAATTGTATTTTATATACATACATGAGTTAGTATTTTAAAAGACAGTTATTGATGTCATTTAAAAGTTGCTCAGTTAAACATAACCTTTTATTGTTATAAATATGGATTTTCCTTAAGCTAAAATGAATATAACAGTATTTGTTTTTATGATAGAGAAAAAACAGCCTATATAACATCCAAGCAAATTGCGCTGTCGACCTATTTTTGCTTTGGATATTCGGAAATCCACAGACTGAAACCGAAACGCGATTAGACTTAACGGCGTTTCCATTTTTGGAAGGTGGTTCATGACCCGGATTGAAATGCGATATTTTTACCACTCATTTAATATTAAGATTTCCAGAAGAAGCCCAAAATGATGGACCCGGTAGGGATCGAACCTACAGCCATACATTGCTTATCCGTCCAGTAGTGTGTATTATCAGTTTAAAGTCAATTAGATACTAATTTCCTTTATCGGGGATTTTCATAACTAACCATTTTCTGCTTATACTTGATGGCCAGTTTGAGCCTCCCCAAGGTCTGCCTCTCTCCTGGCTCCCAGCAGTCCATGTCCCAAGGGTTGTAGTTTAGCATGATTTCTAGTTCCTGTGACGTGCGCGTGTGGTCCAATAATGATGTGGCGAATTCTTGTACTTGTTGTCTAAGAGCCTATTATATGTTTTAGATTAATAAAAAACTGTATTAAATTGCTTTGTTTTATAGGAAATTAAATTAATGCTGCTTAATACCAGTTAATTGAAGCGATAGTTATGTAAAACTAGCAGAGCCCGCGACTTATTCCATGTAGAAAAGTTGTTATACATACATATATCACGGACATTTTTTTAAAAATTTAAAGTGGAGTCATTTCTTACATAATTTTTGTTTTTTTTTTTAGCCGGCATTTAGCAGCGCAAAAAGCCCTCAAAGAAGAATAATTTTCCCTATTTTTCTTTCACTGTTTCTGCGCTCCCGTTGGTCGCAGGCGTAAAGTTAATTAACCTAAAACCTTTCTCGATAAATGTCTATCAAACAAATTCAATTCAAACTAGTAGTTTCTGAGATTGGCGCGTTCAAACAAACAAAATCTTCACCTTTATAATATTAGTAAAGAGAAGTAAATTTAATGATATAAAATTTTATACAGATGTTGGCACATGCCTCTACAGTAAAAAGTGTTGTTGAGCGAAAACAATGATTGAAGTCTTTTACATTGTATCTTTTTAAAGCTACTTAATAGAGATGCTGAAGGGAATATAACAGTCAGAACCTTATATTCTACACGAAATTCAGTCTCCATGCGGCTAAGGCTGTTAAGTTCCCATGACAGCTCGAAAGCGGTCAGCACAGGGTCGGCGGAAGACAGCGCAATGAGAGACGGAGAACTCAGGGCTCGGTAGGAGTTGATCCGGGCCTGTGAGTGCCTCAACGAATCCTCTGTCGATGACTTCACACATTCGTCACAGCCGCACCTACGTTAAAATACTTTTGTAACTGGAACTCTAGTGTATTTTTTCTTACTTGGCATTTTTGGTAAACAAACACAAAATTAACATGAAATCGTGATTTTCTCACAAGTTTTACATTGATTTAGAGTAAAACATTATAATATATTATAATAATATATTTAATATACAATATAGTGTCTACTATATTATATATTAAACTAATGAACTACCTCAAATTCACTAAGTTAAAACCACAATTTCATGCTAAAATTAATAAAAATAAATTTACACATGCACAGATTAAAATTTCTTTAAGTTTTAAAAATAAGTTGTCATAAAACTGATTTTATATATTCAGGTCGTTGGGTCCATATACAAAAAAAAAATCCTATGTCCTCTGTGGCAACGACTACACTCTACAAAAGGGCGTCCCTAGATCTCTATAGTTTGAAATCAGCCATATTTGTTGTGTTCTTTCGCCAAATTAAAAAAAAAAAAATAGGTAAAGGTAGCTTAGTTAGTGAGAGCAACAGCATGGAAGGTTGGTCTTGGTCTCAGGACTAAAATAAATGTTTAATTACAACAAACTTTTTATCTTTATAACAGTGATGTAGATCATGAATACTAGGGTAAAAGGTATTAGTATAAGGAATGATTGGACTTCTGTACCTACTTGACGTCGTGAGGCACTGGCAGTGTGGCGCCTCTATCCAGAAGCAGCTTCAAGATCTCGTAGTGGTTGCGGTGTGCGGCTAGGATTAGTGGGGTGATGTCAGATGTGAACGTTGCTGATGCTGGATCTACTGACTCCCAGCTCTGAAAGGAAATGGTATAGTATAGTTCGACAGGCTCGTTCAGTATTAGTTCGGGGGGGGGGCGGTTATTTAGAATGGGGTAGGGGGGGGCAGAGGAAGATTACGTCATCGATATTTATTTACTTTTTTACACGAATGGCAAAAATTTTTAAATGGTGAAAATGACGAAGAAGGGGGGAGGGGATAACACGTTTTGCTGAGGGGGGGGGGGGTAAATATTGTAATAAATCTGCTTAGTATACTTGAAGGCCCTCTATTATTTGGATAAAAAATTATAAATGGTATGAATAACACGGTCTGATTTTGGTCGGCACTTATATTAATTTGTCAAATGTAAAAAAGTAGCTATAGTTATGTAACACACACATTTTTTTGTTCTATCATTAATACTTTTCCGTTGGTTTTAGTAAGAATTTCTATAGATGTCTATAGTAAACAAGTACTAAATATAGCCTATATTACTCAGTGATAATGTAGCTTTCCAATGAAAAAAGAATTATTAAAATCGGTCCAGTACTTTTTGAGATTATCCGTTACATACAAAAATACAAATCTTTCCTCTTTATAATATTAGTATAGATAACATTCAAATTAGTCGTAGGAATTTATAAAACGCTTATTTTTTGTCTCGAAAATATAATACATACATTTAATATTTATTTCCATTTGTCAATAAATAAAATGGTTATTTTTATGTTAAAGATTACATCAAATCAGTCTGTTTTCTTAACATCTCAATAGATCTCTTGCAGCCAATATCATTCAAAAGATACAAGATACAAGTGTATTTTGTATTTGGTATATACTTCATATTTTCGTTGCTCTAGCAGTTTTAGTAAATACTTCGTCAGACGGTTGATGATGCTTAATTGTCTTATGGATATTTCAAATATTTTGATAATACAATACAAACATACAATTTGATTCGATGCCTATCCTGTTCATTTACAAATTCAATCCTAGCTTTACGTGACAAAGTTTATAAAAACGTTTTACGATAATATGTTAGCGAGGTAACGCATACGTCGTGTTTTTTCGTGAGTGTTGCCAGCTCCATCAAATTATAAGATGTTGTCACGTCAAACTCTGTAGAATCACGACTGACAGACAGACAAACATCTTTTGACGAATCTAAATTATTTTGGAAAATTTAAAGAGATTAAAGTATTTGTTTTATTTAAAATGAAAGGTAAGTTTCGAGAACTGTCAGTAGTTTACGCAATAGTACGCATATAAATAATACACTTTAACGGTTTCAAACGCAATATATATTATCTTTAGTTTCCCCGTGACCTCGGCTGCTGCAAAGCATCCGAAAAATCCGGCGGTAGTTACAATAATTTCCAAATAAGCTTAACAATATTTATAATATATATCGTGTTTTAAACCCTTAAATAGTCTTATTATTTTTTGTAATTAAATACTATACTCACATACGGTTCTCCAGGCACATGGTGTTCCTCCTCCCACTGCAGCAGCATCTCAACAGCCTCCACGTACTCCTCTTTAATCGCGTGAAGTAGTGCATCCTGTAATAAAATAAGCAAATTAACAATCGATTTTGGCGTGAAAAAAATTGGCGACGTGGGCGGGACTGGAACCGGCATCCACAGCGTTCCGTGCTGTTGCCCCAAACAATGGAACTAACGTGTGATCGTTAAATTTTTTCAACCTATTGATAATTGCACCTCTCGCGCAATGTAATTTCAACCGTAACTCTTACGAATTAAGGTTTAATTCCTTTAATGTCATCATGTGAAATATATGGAAGTTTTCAAATATAATTACTTTACACACATAATAAAAACCACTGTCTGTATAGTTTTCTGCAGTTGTTTGATAAATATTATCAGTAATAACTGATGTAGAATATAGATAGATTTAGATCTATGAATATTCTGGATGGTTAATGAATTATGTTCATAATTATTGGCTATATGCAATAATAATGTTTCAAATGTGATAAATATACCATTTGTCTTGAAGGAATGTAACACCTAAATATTCTTCGTCTTCAGAGATTTAGTTTGAATATAAATATGTCTCTTATGGAGATGTATGAATGGTTTGGACTGAAACTATTGGATATATTGATTTCCCAAAGGTGCACATATATTTTCCTATTGTGTCTTCGTAAATGGTTTGACTGTGTGACTTGGTTAAAAGGCGTATCCTCAACAATAGAAGTAACTAAGGACATTATGTTAGTTTATAACGATTAAATAATATATAGTTGGGTAGATTATGTAATTTTAATAAAACACTTTAACGGTTTAAAACGCGACATATTAAGTACTGTCTATAGTTACTGTCTAGTAGTAGTACGCGAGTAGTACACATTTAAATAAAACACTTTAACGGTTTAAAACGCGATATATGTCTCCCCATGACCACGGCTGCTGCAAAGCATCCGAAACGTCGGGCCGAAGTTAAAAATAATTTTCAAATAAGTTTAACTAATGTATCGCGTTTTAAACCGTTAAAGTGTTTTATTTAAACGCGATATATTAGTTAAATTTATTTGAAAATCATTTTCAAATTAAAGTGTTTTCTTTAAATGTGTACTACTCACGTATAGACAGTATTTATGTAATTTTATTTTTTTAATTTTACTATTAGCCTCTATAATATATAATAGTTACATAACTGCAACGCAGTTAACTAAAAATAACCACAAATAAGGAATGAAGTGTCGAGAAAAATTATTAAAAATGTATTGAAATTTCGCTGCAAGTCACCGTGTTTAGAAAATAAAGTTATGAGTGAGTGCAGTGCGCTCATAACACAATTATAGAACGCTAGCGGCGATCGTTCCCTTGTATAATGTATCAGTGTTACCTACTGTTTAGAGCAATGAATATAGGATTTTTTTATGTACATGTGATATTGGCTGGCCTGTTAGTTAAGTAATGATTAACCAGTTCGGTAAAAAAAAATCTATTTTTTTACAATGTTTGCCGTTTAATGGGTGGTAGGAAATATCCCTACATGTCACAAGGTTTTGTAAAGTTTCGGGTCCAATCTCACATCGTAATTGGTGGACAGTGCCTTAATACACAAATATAACCAACAATTTTTTCGATCAGGTATTGTGTCCGACGAGAGTTTTTACCAATTACAAAAAAATACTTTATAACGGTAAAGAAGTTTTCGCTTCAAAAATGAAAATAGTTTAAAAATTTGTGTTATCGTATGATATTTAAAGCATTATATGTATCTATTAGGAAGAAAATTGATTTCCCAGGTCCTCGGACATTTCATTATCAATACATAAGTTTGTGAAATGGGAAAAACATGCTACAAATACTTAATTAGCTAAGTGACAATTTTAGTACAAAGCAGACAATGCACTTTGATTCCTCAGAGAATTATTGAACTATTCCATGAAAGGAAATGTATGTCGACAAAACGTGAAAGGACTATTAATTTTAAATGCATAGTTAAAATTTAGTGTTTGTTTGTAAATGTATTATTTTAAATGTCACATACCAATGGATATAAGTGTACTTAGAGAGATAAAAAGCGCTGGTCCCTGAGATCTCTTAAGACTGAGAAGAACAATCGAGCATCAGCTTCACGTGATAGATAGGGGTAACCAGCCGTATCATCTAAAAAGGTGGACTGTCAACCCATTTAGCTATGGACATCCAAATGGTTCGTCAATTGGACGGAATTGCGATCTTCCTACCACTCATTTATTAACTAGATGTACAGACTAAATCCAGCATGTTTCAGATTATTTATAAATTAATTTGAAAAATTTTGGAGCCAGTGGGGGTTTAAAACCACGACCCGTTAATTATTAGCCGTTCATTTCTACCATTACACCAAGAAGCAAGTCAAAATAGCCCGTATTCACTGCACATCGGATTGTTTTAAAAAAATCGCTAGACTATCTTTCTGTCCCACAAGTGGGATATCTCTTACCTTAACTTTGATGCCAGCTTCGAGAAATAGTCTGATAAGCTCAATGTTCTCATTTTCGATGGCGGCGATAAGCGCTGACCGGTTCAGAGGGTCTACGCAGTTGATGTCTAGCAGTTCTGGTTTTGATGCATATTGGTCTATTAACCTGGGAATAATTGCTGAAAATCAGTCTATGAGAGCAACGCCTGTTTGTTATGTGTTACAGACGTGACAAGCTATGTGTAGTTAAAATTTTATGGGTTCAATTTTCAGGGAGCCTCTGTTTTATGGAAATAAATGTCTACTTTTTTGATAACACATACATCTTGCTGTCTCTTGCTAAAAGAAAACCATTATTCGCGTACTAATAATTAAACAAAATATCTAAGTGTAATACTATTGTATACTATTCTGTTTTTACAATGTCTAGCATATTGATACATAACTATGTATAGCTTGCACTGGTCGATATCACAAACAACCAGTTGATCAGACTTCTGTGCCCTGCCCGACTAGAATGATTATGGTTGTGTATCCGGGATTCAAACCCAGTTCCTATTACAACTAACCCAAAGCAAGGCTTAACCATTAAGCCGGAGGCGATATAAATACAGTTATGTTGAGTTTATTTTAGTGACTAAAAATCGATTCCAGATTCAAAGAAAAATTACAAGGGGCTTGAACCGGCATCCATAGGGTTCCGTGCAGTTGCTCTAACCAATTGAGCCACCGTGTCTCGCGCAATGTAATTTATTATAGTATTTTAAGAAAAACATTTATTTTTTTAGTAATTACGCGGATAATTGATACTACTAGACTCCTTGACGAATCTTCGTTTAGATTATTCCACAAGTAAAACAGCACTGGATTACATTATACACACTAACAAGGTCCTAATGATATCACAATATGATGAAAATTGTCTCCCCGTGACCACCGCTGCTGCAAAACATCCGAAACGTCGGGCCGTATTTAATATAATTTTCAAATAAGTTTAAGTAATATATCGCGTTTTAAACCGTTATAGTGTTTTATTTAAATGTGTACTAGTCGCGTAAACTGCAGACAATGTTTGATGTCACAATAGTTTGAGTAATATTGTGTTAGTGTTTTAACGTTCTACTTCCTCACTAGTTTTTGAGTTTTAGTATATCTATCTCCATCATTTCACTCGTTTAAGAGCAGGCCAAATTCAAAGCTATCATAAGGTCTGTCTAGCGACCTTACCAACCTAATTCTTTTAATCCAAAGTCAATCAAACCAACTCTAGTTATCCGGATAAACGGAATTACTTGTAACCGTGACATACAAACGCACGTGTAGACAAACAAGATTACGGTTTTCTAGTGATTCACTTACAAAGAACGGTGGGGTGTTTCACTTTTCATTTGAAATTTTCTTCGCTGAAATTCGATGGATTTTACCACGTGAAAACTTAATTACTAATGTGTATATTTACGCGAGTAGTACACGTTGAAATAAAAATGTATTAGTTAATTTATTTTAACTGCTAATAAGATAACGAATACATTTCGCGTTATAAACCGTTAGGAGTGTTTTGTTTTATGTGTATAATTTGATAATATTTGCTACCAGTCCACACCTTACAATAGTAATGGAATCACCTATGCACTTTTATCGGATATCTGATCCATGTTTTCATAGTTACACAAACATATGACTATATGAGTATAGTTGGAATTCTTACTTTTAGTCACACACACATAAAATTTAAATAAAACATTTTAAACGGTTTAAAACGCGAAATGTATAAGTTACCTTATTTACTATTTAATTTGTCTACGGGCTGACGTTACGAATTCCTTGCAGCCCGTGACCTCGGCTGCTGCAAAGCATTTTCAAATTGTTAAGTGTCAAAGCCAAAATGGGTCGACAGCCATCTTGTTTAAATGTTTGTTTTATTTCACCTCCCATCGAGTGAACTTTTTTTTAATATAGAGGAGAACAGACAATCATAGGATTGTCTGTTCTCCTCTATATTAAAAAAAGTGTTTCATTTAACATTCAAAATCTATTTTACCGTTTGACGGTCGCGTAGTCTCCCCTATCGGCGTTGAGCAGGAACGTCTTCTCCTCCCTGGTGAGGGGTCGCTCGTACACGCTCCTCAAGTCGTGTTGGCTGTTCCTCAGGGCTTCCTGGGAACTGCCGAGGAGCTCCTCCCTCGAACCGCGGTTCATTGTGTTCTGGAATCATCGTTAGGTGCACTATGTAAAAACTTTTGAATAAATACTTAACTTCTTTGATTCAGGCACATGGAAACAAGTTTCTATTGATTTACGCATTATAAAAAAAGAAGAAAACAAAAATAAAAGCAAATAAATTTAAGAATATATTAATATTATAGTTTAAAGATAATTTAGACGTTAAGTTGGATAATCAATGAGTTTTACAAGTGGAGGTCCCGGTTTTACGCGTTACACGCATCTGTGCGATAAGGATGGGTAAAAAAGAAATCAATAAATGGCTCTATGTTCTTTTTTTTATTAATTATATACTCTTAAAAAGTTACAAAATTATGAATTCGCATCTTCACCTATGATTCATGACTGCATTCAAAACACAATACAACAAGTCTAATTTTAAATAATTTAAGAGTATAATTAACACATGCGATGCGTAAACAATAGAATGGTTAATGATTAGATACTAAAATCATTCAACAATTACTAATGTAATGTAATGTAAGCTGATATATTTTTATTACCATATGGATGGCAGTGTATGTGTAACCGTCTGTGTAGGTAACGGTGATTACCAGGCTTTACATACTCTCTTAGGCCCGGCCCGATGCGAAAGCTTATATCAACTTAAGACTTATATGATATGTGTCCATTTTGTTTGAAAGCAAAGCTACCTTATTGGGGGCTCGTTTCTCTAAAAGGAGGTAAGAGTTAATTATACCAACAAAAAAGAAAAAGAGACTAAGAAATGTTTCATGCATATTATCTTCTATTCATGAAATATATATGTAGGTATGTCTCACTGAGATTCGAACTTAGGGCCCGCTTTCGCATTTAGATCGTGACGATGTCACATTATAATTATTCTTACCAAGTGAAGTTATTAGTATTCTTCTATTTTAATAAATAATGCCACCAACATTTCTATGCTACGATAGTCACGATACGAAAGTTGAATCATTACTGAGAGAACTGTTGTTTTCATGTCATTTACGTCAAGTGTGAAGCGACAATATGTAAATAGAACCTTCTAAATGAGGCTTTTACGCAGATACCCCATTTCATGTGTTTCTACGGTTATGGAATTCGTAAATAGTAATGGTTTCGAAAATTATGAATTTATAACATCAAGTTGCGTGTTTTCACAAATCAAACGCGATACATTAGTTAAACTTACTTTGATTTCCAAAGCATTCGAAACGTCGGGCCGAAGTTAAAAATCATTCCCAAATAAATCATTCCAAAGTAATCGCGTTTTAAACCGTTAAAGTGTTTTATTTAAACAATTAATAAACTTTAAAAATCTGCATTGTTGATTCGTAGGTTACTTGAAGTTTGTGCACTGTTGTGTCGTAGTAAACAAGGCCTTTATACCCACGAAATTAAACACAAAAGTTTTAAACGTGATTTTAGAGTCGGATAAAATAATTACGAAATATAACAATATAATTAGAATGAAATAAAAGAGTATTATGTTGGTGGGGTGTTGCGTTGGGAAACATATTTGTGTGACAGTTTCAGTGTTTTTTTTTAATTAGTTAAAAGTATGACTACCACTGCATTACCCAATGGAAACAATATATTACATTTCCCAGGTATCAAATATAAGGCACTGCCAAGGCTTTGCGAATTTGCATCGCACATGTAGCATTGCATACGATGGCATTATATAAATTAAAAATGTAGTTAAAATAAAAATCCATTACACAATCGAGATTTGAACAGGTATCCGAAGAGATCTGTGCTACTGCCCTAACGAATTGAATCCAAGAGAATGGAAGTTTTGCTATGTCATCGCGTTTTTTTATTCTAGAAGTTTCATCGAATTTTTAATTCTAGAATATCTTGAGCAATTACATCCTATTGTTTAACGCGTGGGCTTAATTCGTTGATTTTTATTTTACGTTAACTACGTTTAAACAGTTAGTTATGATAATCTGTTCCATTATAGATTAAGAAAAACCTAAAAACTATCATTTCCCGTGGAAAATAAAGGAAAAACACAAAAGTCGCGTCACTTATTTCAATGCTCGCAAGAAGCGTATATCTTGACAAATGAGCTATAGAAAAGAGGAAATCTGATGTGTTTATTTGTATTTCAAGATGATAAGGATCTGAGGATGCCAGCGTTATCCTGTATGATTTATTATACACGTCACTTGCTTACAAAGAGTCTTTGAATGCAATAAGTTGACTTGTGACTTTTTCACGCGTCATATTCGGGACAGAAGATAGTCTATTCTTGAATCGCATTTAATTTTTTGCTCTACCCATTGGTACATACCTTCTATGTATTTCTTTATTAATAGAGCTATATTTTATAGCTACAGATTCCTTAAGCCAGCTTTAGGTAAATACTATTGCGATATCGCGATCTAGAACCTTAAAAGAGTACATCTTTCGTAAGTACGAAAGATGTACTCTTTTGTAACTAAGTAGTTAATCCAAAAGTGACGGCTATTGAATCGAATGTCTGTATTAGTCTGTATTTTCTCTCGTTTTTAATCTTGAGACTATTTATTTAAAACTTAACTGAAGTCAAATAAACAACGCAGCAAGTCTCAGTAATAATTATTTTAAAGCAGAATCATTAATTAAGTTTTGGTCTACTTAAATCTATGCTGTTACTTCAAATTATCTTTACCTCATTCATATCAAATCTTATCCGTATTCGTTTACTACGTTTTTTTCGCTTCATACTTAACATAATCACCACAAAACTATTTGATACACTATCTCATTAAATCCAATTTCTCCTAGAATCATCCACACACAAATCGGTATAAACAAATAAGAATTTGTATCAAAGAGATCGGCGCGCGCGCATCTAATTTAAGCGCCCCACTAACTGACGGATAAGCACTATTTCTGTCATATAGTTATATTATATCCAATTTTTAGATGAGTCACGATTCAAAGAAATTTTAATGTATTGACAGACCAATTTAGATCGGTACGAGTTATAAATGATGTGTGAATGATGTTTGCATCAAGGACTTACGGATTATGATTGAATGGGCTAAGGTTTGATCTTTGGGAAATAACCTAAATTATTGTTAAAATTTGGCATTTAATATTTTATTTGTAAAAAAAATAATTATGGTTGTAACAAATAGTCCAAAATAATTCATATATATACAGAAAAAATATTTTTTCAAATCAATTCAATTCAAATATACAAATAAACATTTGCAAATTGCATATTGCACATTAATAATTAGTACACCTACCTCGTTTCAAATGTCACAAGTCCAAAATTGAAAAATAATCACTATTTGGTAAAAATAGAAATCTCCTAGTTTTGGTAAACTTAACGTAAACGAAAATGCTTTAAAGCATCCAGATAAAAGTAGGGTCACAGTGCTAACGACATTAGTTGGAATTTATATTCACTTGATCGCCTTAATAAACTAAAAGTGTAATAGAAGAATCCAAAACTACTTCGGTGCTTGGCCATCGCAATTCAGAAATTTCCAAACCCAGAGTCTTTTTTCGAGTTTAATCTTCCGTTACATAAACCCCCTCATTTGTCTGTATGATAGAGGAGGTTGCTCTATCATACAGACAAATGAGAAATGGTTCTTATCTTCACTTAATGGATTACTTTGTATCTCTTAATGATGTCAAAAACTCGTGATAACTAAACGTTGAGAACTATTTTTCAATTAAGACTCCAGTAACGTCCCGAAACTATTAAACAGTTTTCAAATATATGCATTTTGTTTTTTTGTTATCTGTTTGTTGGTATACATATAAAATAAAGAATCTGCCCGCTTCCCGACACATCAGTTAGCAGATTATAGTTGTATGTGTATTTTTCATATAAATCTTCATTAAATTTAATCAGTATCTGACATCAAAATTAAGAAATTTATACTCTTTTTAGAAAAGCATTACTCAGAAATCGCAATTTTACTACGTAGCATTCCCTTCTGTACGAAAATCGCTATTACTATGACCGCCTTGCATCGAGCCCGATTTTCTCACGTGTAAACAAATTAATAGCCGGCTACAGATCAAAGGAGACTGATCGCCATGTGCCGTTGATAGCTAATCGTAGATACACTCTCAACACTCTGTAAATGATACGGAATCTTTACCCTTTTAATGAGAACTAAGGTAAACTTTGCTGCTTTTATTGCACGTTTGAGTCTAATTTGCTGCACCGTTTCAGCTAACACCGATAACATGGGCATTCACACTCATCTTTTCTGTAAGCCAAAGTGTTTGTTTTGTTTTATATTTTATTAGTAGTTATTTTACGTATCTTTTATTATAATGACCACCTCTGTAGCTCTATAGTGAATTGGGCTTTGCAATACGCGATTTCGGTCGATACGGATTCAAATCTTGGGGCAACAATAAATTGTTTCGGTCGGGCGGGACATAGAAATTTGAGTAAAGTCATTTAGTAAAACGGATACAGATATTTTTTACTGTGCCAGCGACTTTGCCCGCGTAGAATAGTTATTTTTGGCATGAAAAATTGTTTAATTTAAGCAGTTACGCACGACGTCGGTCGCGTCCTGTTGTTCTTGCAAGTTAATCTTAAGGGATAAACATATATGTTTATCCCTTAAGATGAAAAATTCAAAAAAATGTCGCAACACTTTTGCAAAATTTTTTTGAAACACTTTATGTGAAATCATTATTTTTACATATTTTTTGGGTATCTTAAACCCACAAAGATGAATATTTTGCCTCGTTTTTCCCACATTTCCCCTACCTTTCTTCGCTTCTTTTAGTCACAATGTTTTATAGCCTATAACCTTCCTCAATAAATGCTCTAACCTACACAAAAATAATTTTTCATTTCGAACCCGTAGTTCCTGAGATTAGCGCGCTCAAACAAACAAACTCTTCAGCTTTATATATTAGTATAGATATCGATTTTGGTTTAATAGATTCTCATCACTAACAGGTATAATTTTTGTCAGCCAGGATTTCTAGGATCGCGTACAGTTATGATTCAAAGTCGAATAATATTCTTATTTTAT